GCGCAACCTAAAAAAAAAACAGAAAAAGGGGGCAAAAAAAAAAAAAAAAAAAAAAAAAAAAAAACCTCAGGCTTGTACAAACATGCTCCGTCAATGTGTGGTCAGTGGATATTTAAAAATAATAAATCATTAGAACGAAAACAAGATTTAGTCCGGTCCAGTGCACCTGTGACTGCCGAGCCAAAAAAAGATCTGATCTGAGGCAGGGAGTGTCTGAGTTAGTGTCCAGGGGTGCAGGCAGGGGATTTCCCTAACAAAGCTCCTTTAATCCAGCAGGAAGAGGCTCCATCAGTCAGTAAAGTGCTGACACTGTGCAGGGACAGGGATGCAGTCTGACTGGAGTTTCTCTCTGATTCACAGTGACCGCTTAATGTTGGGAAACCTCAAACAAACATCACATTTACCTCAATATAAAACTTGACCTGTTTCTCTCTCTCTCTGTCTCTCTCTCTCGCTCTGAGTGTGTGTGGCAAAAATAGAAAAGACAACATCAGCCTGGTACCACTGTTTTGCGTGTTCTCATAAATAATTTGTTTGAGAAATACAGAGCAACATTTGGCTTTCAGCAGGAGATTTGCTTGTGGACATTTGCTTCTGATTTAAGGCAAATATTTTCTTGTTTGTCTCTTTATTTGTGTCTTACTGAATCACACGCTTGTGTCTTTTGCTAAAAAAAAAAAAAAAAAAAAAATCCTCTATTGTTTTCATCACCTGCTTGTTTGTTTACAGCTTTTTGCTGAAAGGCATGTAAAATGACAAACTGCTTCTCTGCAGAAATGACAGCAGAAAAAAATTAACTAAACCAGTGTTGGTCAGAAAACCCAAACAAATTCCGGAAATGGTAAAAATTCACCACAAATTGTGAAACTGGGTCATTATTACACACATTACATAATCATCTGGCTTTTTAGCCATTGACTTTAGCTGTTTAAAGTTAAAGATGCACAACTCAATCAGGATTTTTTTTTTTTTTTTTTTTTTTTTTTGCGATTTTTTTCTCTGATTAGTAATCAGCAGGTGAAACACAGATTTATGAAATACATCAGGATCAAGAACTCCCACTACATTTTGTTTAGTCTCATAAAAATTAGACAAACATTAGGGGGCGTAATTAGGGTGACAATTTCCTGCAGCACATTTTCCTGCCTTTATGATTCAGAGTCTTTGAAAAAATTTGGAGTCGTCAAAATTAGAATTGGCAGCTCAGAACTCAAAGAAAACTGCTAGTTGGTCTGGATTTGAAAAAAAAAAATAAATAAACACTGATCGGTGCATCTCTATTGTTAAGGTAAAAAATTTTTTAAAAATGTTCAGTTTCCTTTCACTTATGCCTAACAACAGCTTAGCAAACTGTGTATTGTGTTGGAATCCCCAGGGAGCTCTGTCTGTTAGTGTTTGTCTGAAAGTGTGTCAGTGGTGGCTCAGCTCTAATAAGTGGCCACTTTGCAAAGGTCAACTCCCAACAAAAGGCTTAGTCATTCATAACTTTCTGCTTCTACCATCCAACAGAGCAAAACGCAGTTCAAATTTTAACCAGACATTTAAAGGCAGGAATATCATTAACATTTCAGAATTTCACAACTCATGATGCCCTCCAGATTTATTGGCACCACTCATAGACATGACTAAAAAGCCTTAAAACGGAGTATTTCACAACAGCAACACATTTTTTGACACGACAAAATGTAGAAAAACTCCTCCATTGATTTGAGAACATTAGGAAAATGTTAATTCACAGGTGGCTCAATTGTTATTACCTTTGCTCTTCATACTTTGTATAAAAACTCAGTGCTGATAGAGTTCAAGCTTTCTGGCAAAGGCCAGCAGATTTTTATTTGAAGTCTCATGTTGTTTCAAAGTGCATGCTGCAATGCTCTCCAACAACAACAATGTTCTCAGGGTTTTTGAAAGACTAACAGGACCAAAACCTCACAAATCTCCCACTGTACTAACAGTGAACATAATTTGCTCTTCCACAAATTTGTCCTTTCTTTTATGCCGAACTCTATCTGGAGTGTTTCTTGGTAAAACATCTCAGTCTTAGTCTCTCATGTGACCAAAGCATGAAATAGCATTTTTATGCTCATTATCGGTAGGATAGAAAACAAAAAACTGGTTAGCAAAGTAGAGAGTGTTTAATGTTTCTCACAGAGATTTCACAACACCAAGACGCCACTGTTTTAACCGGGGTTTTTTTTTTTAACAGTGAGCTTTGGGAGATTTATTTTACCTTCCATTAAAGTTTCTAAAGACTCTCATTACCTAGTTTAAACTTTAAAAATTATTCTTAAATGAAAGATTTTCTGCATTTTTAGAGATTTTGCTACTGAAATACAAGATCAATTGCTGAGTTTCTACCACAGATGTTATTAAGTGTGGACAGTAGGGGTGCAGCTAACGATTAGTTTAGTAATTGATTATTCTGACAATTAATCAAGTAATCTCAGGTCGGATAATGAAAATTGTCCAATTTTTATTAAAACATTCATTTAAACACTTAGGCTTGTTTTGTACAATATTAGAAGTACATATGAAATGTCAGTAAATAATTGAAATCCTTTTTTAAATAAGACAATAAACACTTTATGTATTAAACATAATAACATAGCATTTCTTAAGTGTGCGCGTGATCATTAGTAGCAAAGGATGCATCTGCAGCTAAAAAAATACTTCTAACATCAACTTATGGAAAGTTCGGTCCTTTATGCTTGACTTAGCACTGATAGGCAAATCTGTTTTTTGGATTAACCATTTAATAACTGTATGGAAAAATGGATTAATAATGGGATAGCAAAGGTGCTGAATAGGACTTTTTTATTACAGAATTTGAAATGGGTGAAGCTAAAATTAGACCATTAGAGGAGTTGTGAGTAAACATATTAATAAAGAGGTTTTTCATCTTAATGCATATTCTTTGGTACAGTTTTGGATTAATATCTACTCAGCAAACGCTGCATTTGAGAGCCTGTATTCTAAACTTACTGACTAATTGATTACCAAATTAGCTGGCGATTATTTCAAGCATCCATTAATTATGATTGATCTGGTTAATTGTTTCAGCACAACCGGAGAGCACTGTGTAGCCTTTCAGTTGTAACTAAAGACTGCACGGTAATGAAGCAGTAAAGGCAGCAGGTACCTGTCTCGCACAGCAAAGTCCTTCTGCTGCTCCAGGGCGTGGACGAAAGTGATCAGGAAGTGCTTGTTATTGAGCAGAGTGGAGAACAGAGTGATGCCCTCCTCCACATTAGGTCGTGTTGTGTTGTTGGCCTGGTGACAGAAGATGACAGAGGCCGGGTGAAACATTTACTTCTCTGCATGATTTCACCCTAACTGGATTACACACCTGCTGCGCCCTCACTTATCATCTTCACCGCCTCTCGTCTCATGTGACCCATCCAGTGAACACCTCATCCCTCTGCTGCATCCTCTCTCCTCCGCCTCTTCAGCTACCTCCTCCCCCATTCAAGTTTTCGCCACAGTAGATGCGCTCCCCCTGCTCCCGCCCCTTACAGTGTTTGATTGTGGCTAAAATGTGCGGAGTCGACTTAATGAGTGTGGTCTATCAATGGGTGCGACTAAGCAGCAGCATGATGAAGTCTTCCCTCTGGACCGCAGCCATATGGTGTGGTTTGCAGTCTGACAGAAGGAGAACAGGGGTGTCCATTAAGATAAATGCCCGCCTCTGAGATTTATTCGCTGTGACCTGGAAAACACTTCCTGCGAAGACAATGTGGATCCAAGGCACTTCATCACCGTTAGACAGGCTCCCTTGGCTGCCGACCCAAAACCAGCGCCGCAATCCTTACTTTCCCTCGTTAGACGCTGCACACGAACATACGTGTGCTTTCACACTCAGCACACGTTAATACCCATGTGTGAAAGTGCACACCTTCTTCCCTCTCTGTGTTGTCTGGCAGTATGCAAGCACAACTTGAGTGCTAAAACCTGGGTTAGACTTCAGAGAGGGCTTTCAAGGTCAGTACTGGGAAGTCTTGAGATTCTTAAGACGTATATTTTAATGCATTTTGTCACCTGGCGAGGCTACTGTCACATTTTGAGTCTGGTTTCTTCACCACTTCAGTGACACACACCTCTTAATTTTGATCGTTCATCTTCAGAGATTTTTTGCTCTTTTTGCTACTTCAGCTGGTTACCTGGAGCTCTCTAGTCTATTAATGACTGTCACTGCTCCAGTAAAACATTTTTTACATGGTTTAAGGTTTGTTTTTCTTTCTTCATATTTAAATAATCTGTTGATTTGAGGCAGACTTAATTATTGATTGATTGGGTCAATGCTAATTCTCCATGTTTTGTTTTATGTATTTAATCAATCCTGAGTTATGAAGTGGGGTGCAAAGTGGCTAAGACATAGAGCCTTACATAAATTATTCTGTTTTTAGGATTTGTTTTGTAAGAAGTGGCAAATTCAACTATAAAATTAATAATTTGTAAATCAAAAGTTACTTTACAAATTGACTATAATCTTTTTGGATTTTGCATGTGTAAACGTAACTTTTGTGGTTATGGCACCTAACCTGGCTCTGTCCCAGGGACCCATATTCTTCTAAATCAGGCCTGCACAACTTACTGGAGACAGATTTGTTTCAGAGTCAGAAGGGAAAGATGCAACAACTTCAGCTTGTGTTTAACGTATCACTCGCTAGAAATGATTAAACAACACACAACAGCACTCGAGAACATGTGAGCTCATTCACATATACTCAGATATTATTCATATCCACATCATGACAAACCAGATATGTTTTAAATGGATACTACTGCATGCTGTTGCTCTGCATCAACAGTCTCTGGGATTCGTATATAAAAAAAAAAAAAAGACTGTAATATCTATGCCTGTCCAGCAGGTGGAAACAATGTCATCATTTATTTCATCAACACTCAAAAGGAGAAGGATGGCTAAAGCAGTGCTAGGTTAAAAATTCAAAACAATCTTGTTCCCCCAAAGCAGTGTTTGTTTTCCACTCTCTCCACGTCTTTGGGTTACAGTTGAAGTTTAATGAAAACAGAGAATGTAGATGTGGGGACAAAAAAACCTTTTCAACCACACTATTTATTAATTTTTTTTTAGCACCGAAAGTGATAATGAGAAAGGTGGAAGTCTGTCTCATTTAAAAAAAAAAAAAAATTATGTATATTCAATCCACACTGAAAAACTCTAGGGAATTTAGAAATCTCAACTTTGGAGACCATTTTTACAAATCTCTCTTGCCTTTAGACAGGAGGTCCAAATGCAGCAGAAAGTCTCTGCTTGGGAAAATATTTATGTTATTGGGGGAAAAGACCTAAAGATGACAAAAGCAGACCTTCACCTGCCAGTCCTGCAACAGCGGATGGGTCTCTGGTAGCACCCGGGGTCCAAGAGAGTCATTCACGTAAGTGGGCTGGACCAGACTGTTCTCATAATCCGAACACATCTGAAACACACACACACACACACAGAAAACTGTAAAACAAAGAGTATTCGTAAACATAGGGAAGCGGGACTGAGAGGGAAAATAATGAGCTGGGCACCGGTTGTTTGTGTTTGGATTGCCGTCCAGAACTGAAAAAAAAAAAAAAAAAACCCCAGAGAGGCTCTTAAATGATCGTGTGAAAGAGACATGACATGGTGAAACCATAAGTTAGGAACAGAAAAGGCTTTTTGAGACAAAGTGAAGCAGAGCTAAAAGGCAGCATTTCAGCTCAGTCTGTCATTTCAGGACAGCTACACTTGGCCTGTGTTCTGACTGTGTCTAACACTGTTTAGTGTGTGTAATCTCAGACAGCCAGAAGCTCTTGTGGAAAGAAAAACAAAGGGCCATGACGGACAGTGTTTGCTGTCTTTATGAAAAAAAAAAAAAAAAACAAACAAAAAAAAAACTTTGGGCAGACGATGGCAGGGGTGCAACAACCCAATTCGAACACATTTCTAAGCAGAAAATCAGCAGTGTCCACTCTACAGCCGGTGTGGCTGAAATTGTGCAAGATCATCTATTGTTGCAAAACAGCGTGGGCGTGGGAGCTGAGTAGGGAAACTATTTCGAGGGAAATTTTGCTTGTCTCACTGCCCGTCATTGTTCTGTCTCCTTGAAAGATCATGAATGTGGCTGCAAGATGAAGCCCTCTGTCTCTATCTGTGGAAAAAACCCCCACTGAGATATGCCCACAGTGTACCTTTGTGGTAGATGTCATGTGAGGAAAAATGCTTACCCCATTGGGAAAACATTAACTGTAATGCAGGGGTCCAAACTGAAGCGACTTCGCTCGACATTTACCTTGTGTTTAAAAGTTCCAAGGTGAATTTGTATCCTGCATTTTACCAACAGTGGGAAATGCTTAAAAGAAAGAGGCGGGCAGGGAGTAATAAAAATATGAATACCCCCAGTGAGAAAAATGGCAGTGTCAGTCTGCCAGCCAGACTCAGATAACGCGCTAAAATAAGGTTCCTCACCTTGGGGAAGAAAGTGCGCGTGACAAACTGTTTGTACTCCAAGAAGGGGATGCCCTGGCTGCGATTCAGTTCCTTGGTCAGATCTGTCATGTCTGTTTGCAGCTCTGCAAAGCCTGCAAGGACAAAACATAAGGAACAATGAAACCTATTGTCTGGATAAGAGAGTTATTTTTCTTGAAGCAAAATACGTTAAGATGTGTTTGGGTTCTGATGCTCTGATTACTGTCCAGGGTCATATCCTTGATGAATATTAAACATAGAAAAGTGTAATCCTGTGATCTTTTTCCCGGTTTCCTTGCCAGACTGTGCAGCTCATCTCAGTATGGAGGCAAATATTTACCAAATGCCAATCACAGCAGCCAAATCCAGTCTGAGGCTTTTATCCAAAACATGTGTGCAGGCTGAGGTCTACATGCAGAAACGGTATCGGCATGTCCAGACACCGACTCCTATCTACATGCTAATACTGCAGTGGCGCTACATTTCACCAGACGATGATGTTCGCCTCTAATGAGAGGCTGGAGATATTTTATGGGAACATACTTCCTTTCACAGGCAGAGAGACATATTTAGGTTAAAATCGCAATTTCTTTAGAGTCTGTCTAATAAGGAAGAATAAAAATGAAAAATCCAGAGGGATTTTATGGTGCCTTATAAAAGTATGGGATGCTTTTTCTACACTGTTTTTTTTTTTTTTTTACATTACAGCTACAAACTCTAATACATTTCACTGGGATTTTAGATGGCATACCTCAGCTAAGCCATGCATAATTGGGAAGGAAAAGGGCACATTGTTTTTCACAAATACAAATATGGAGAATGCCATGCATTTTTAATGTCCTTTATTCCCATACCGTTAAATAAAACCAACCAGTTGCCTTCAAATGTCACCACTGAGTAATTTAACATCAGCACAGTCAAAACTTTGTAGAACCACATGTCAAGTCTCTATTCATTTGTCTTTTGAAAATGGCTCAGTCTGCGTCAGATTGGATGGAGAACATCGATCAACATCGGTTTCAAAACTGGATTTAATTCTACACTTTGACTAGGCCTTTTTAAGAGATAAAGCTTGTTCATCTTTTTGAAAGGTTGTGTTTAGGTTGAATGACTGGAATCGCTTTTCTTGCTAAAGACAAACATCTCGGCAGCTTGAGGCCTCCAGCATCACTCTTTCACTGTGGATATAGAGTTCAAATGATGCACAGTATTACTTTATACCACACATAGGCTCTTGCTTCTAGGATGAAAGCAATTTAATTTTTTTTTTTCTGGAATACTTGCATGGCACTTGATGTATGGATTATTACTCCTTTAAGTTATTTATCCTCTCAACTAGATCACATCATTTGGTGCAGAATAAATGGAGAGGCTAAATATAAAACCGTCCCTGTGCTTCTGTTTTCACACAAACTCCTCCTGTTGGAGCAATGTTTGGACCATCAGTTTCCTGTCGTCTTTTACCCCTCCTTTTTTTTCCTCAAAGAGCTACTTTCCTCTCAGCAGAAAGATCCCTCGTTTTGTGCGCACTCACCATGAACTCGTCCACAAATCTATCTATGTCCTCTGACTAAATAACCTCGCCTCTCCTCCTCCTCTCCCTCCCACGCCTCCGCTTCTTCCCCCGGCTTGCGGCCCTCGTTCTCGTTCCTATCACTTCCTCCTTCCATTTCTCTTTCTCTATCCGTCCCCCCCTGCATCTCTGCTCCATAAATCTGGCTGCTCAGACATGGAGTGGCCTTCGCTCGGGCCTACTCTAATGTTCAGACGCACGCACAAACATACAGACACACAGAGGCTTTTTTTTCCCTATAGATGGAGGACAGACTATGTGGCCACACGGTAAATCTGTGTGTGACTGATCATTTGTCAGGCTCTTCATTTTATGAGTCACGCTTACGAGGCACAAATCTGTCAACTTTTGTGTCTCCTTCCCTCTTCAGATGAGACAGCCTCCAAACCAAGTGCCATTTTTTTTTTGCACGCAAACACGAGAACATATACAAACAGGCAAAGACAAGGCTTTACATTTCAGTGTTCCCCTTTTAACCTCACCTTTCCGGATCTCCTCTCTGATCTGAGACTCCATCTCCTCCATTTGGAGAAGAGTTTTCTGCCAGTAGCGTTCAGCCCTCCGGCTCTTCGTGCAGTACACGACGAGAGCTGCGAACGACAGCAAACGGTGAGAAAAAACAAACAGGCGCTTCACGCAGTATGGGGTCAAAATGGTTCTGAAATATTTTCATTAACGATTTTCAGCAGAGCTTCTGTGTCACAGGTTTTGAAATTAATTTCAATCCTAAAATGTTGAATGAGACATTGTCCACATTGCGTAATGGCTAAGCACAATTCATGTACACACACACTCTCTCGTCGGTAGCATTACACCTAAAATGTCTGGCAGGAAACAGAGGAGCTTTTGTGAATATATGATCCAAAATGGGAAACGGTGTGAAAGTACACACTCGCACTAATTTTCACCCGTACACCTGCCCTGCAGACCATCTCGGTTTCTGACTACAGAGAACAGACACACAGACGGAATTGGGAACACTGGAGTCTTTGTGCGCTGGATACTAAAGAGGGATGAAGCAAGTGCAGGAAACTACAAGCTTAGAATTCCTTTTATCTCTTTCCACATCTGGAGCATCCGTAGCTGCAGCAGGCACGCATCCATCATCTGCTGGCAGGCCTGTGTGTGTGCGTGTGTGTGCGTGCGTGTGTGTGTGCTGGACCTACCCACTGTGCACAGAAGCAGCAACACGCAGCACACCACAATGGACACCACAATGGCCAACTCGCTGCCGCCGAGCTGCACTTTGGTGATCATGTGGCGGAAGTTTCCCACCTGCACCTAGAAAGAGAAAGAAGACTTCCACATAAACCTGGGTCACGTTTGCTGAAACTCTGACTTCTCTTTTTTCAGAATTAATTTCACAGTGGCAGTTGCAAATACCACTAGTCCTACTCTGATCATTTTTATCAAAGAGTATGTTGCTGTGATGGACAAAACAAATGCAGGAACAGCGTTAAGGTGTAACTAAGTATTATTAAAATGTAAAGAAATCACAAATGTGAGTAAAGGACTTTTCTCCACTCCAGTTTTGAAACCGTGCTCCAGTTTCCACTAGTGGTTATTTGGCTGTTTTCAGTGGAAATATTTGTATCAAATACTAATTAGCTAAACATAAAGCAAATTAGCAAAAGCAAGATAAACTGAGATTTAAATTTCAAACATACAGCCAAACAGATCATCTTTTTTTCATGGACATTAATTGCTTGAACTGAAAAACTGCAACATCCAAACGAGAGAGGCATAGTGCAAAAGAGTTTAGGAAACTGTGATGGATGACAATGAGGTATAGGCCTGTCAAGCTGTGTCAGCTCTGTAAGCAGATATGGTTTAAAAAATGTCCATCGTATAGTTCAGAGAAATGTCAAAAAAATTCAGAGTATCTAAAGGTTTTGCCTGGTATAAGCTCATCCTGCCCCTCCCACTCCTGTTGCTGTCACTGCCATTCAGTTGGCAGAAAGAAGAATTTCGGATTTGTCTCTAAGTTGCATAACTGACAAAGTTGGCAGTTTGGAAATATTTTTGGTTGAGGAAAATACAGACAGTAAAAGCGTGGAAGCTAAAGGAGAGCTGGTCAGTCTTATTAAGGTAATATCTTAAAGTTACAAGCAACATATCTGTAAAACAGTTGTCTGCAGGTTCTCAGCAGTCAGAATAGTTGTTTTTCTGTTGTAAATATAAAACATTGGATTCCTTCACCTTTCAGTGTTAAGTCTGTGTAAATAAAGGGATACTCTGGTATTTTATTCAAGATTATCACAACTTAATCTCATTCCAGTTCATGCCTAATTACAAAGAATCAGTAACAAATACTTTTGTTTACATGTGCTTCAAGTTATTTGGGACATTTTTAAGTACTTGCTAAGCCAATAGCACTGCACTGAATATGCATTGAAACACTATAGCAACACGTTTAAAGATACAAGATACACAGCATAAGGACATGCAAGAGATTTAAATCAGCAGAAGTGGAAATAAACAAGTTTGAAAATCAAAGCACGGCAACCATATTGAATTGTGAGGTTTGGTTGGTAAGAAATATCCAATGTTGCTACTTTAAAGTCTCGCTTCTGGCTTTCTGATTCTTTTTCCGTGTTGGGCATTTATTATCAAAAATGTTGTTTTTGATAATAAATGGAATGCATACTTTTCTTTTTTATTTAATGAGAAAACAGCAAACTGAAAAACAATAACTGTTGTGTTACTGTTGTGAAATGTCATCAAAAACGTTTACCAAAGTAGAAGAACCATTTCAAATCATAATGTTGATGAAAATAAAACATGTACATCTTAACAAAAATTACATAAACCTATATTTTCTATAGAAATACCATCTCTAACTTGGCAGCAGATGATGCTGTTTAAATTTGTCTTTAGTCCATGAATAAAGACAAATTATTCAAATTACACTTCTTAAAGTAACATTTTTATATCCTTATCACCCATGCCCAAGATGCCAGTGACCTGCTCTCAGAGCAAGGAACTCAGAAAACTATTCCCTCTGAAATGAATCAAGATTTCCCTCTGACATTTCTGTGCACAGAGTAGCTTGTTTGCCAAAATTCAAAAATCACATAAGTATCAAAATACTCAATATTTATAGCCTGTAGAAAACTTTCCAGGTGAAAGTCTTTCACTCCTCATGTAGTGAAGTGACATAAGATTTACAACAAAATGGATGTTAAATTACTGTAATAATCTTTAGGTTATTTGTTAAGCAACATTTCATGCTTTGATTTAACACGTCCCTTCTTTATATTAACATCATTCAAACAGCAAGGTATTGCTTTTTAAAATATTTGTAAGGGCGCCGCTGCTTATCAGAAATCATCATAAGCTAACTCCAAAGCTGCATAGTGGTATTAAAAGCAATGTAGCAGCACTTTAGATGGGCTTAAACTGAGCTGCTGATGTTAACAGCAGTAAATACAGCTGCAGTAGACTAAATAAAATGAAATACAGGAATAAACTTTTCAAGCCGAGTTAATTTTAGCTACTGTCCCTGGGTATGTGCTTGAGGTACGATAACCTTTTATTTTCTTCTTCCGTTAAATTTCTACTCTATTACATACAGGCAGTAAAGTGTATTTGAAAGACAGATACAAAGATGAAGGGAGAAAAGCTCAGGAAGACAGATCAGGTGTGAGGAGGAATAACATTAAAGGACTCGTTTATTATATTTTTATCCCAGGACTGCACCAGAATAGCACGTTCCGATTCACATATGAAAATACTTTTTTTTTTTTCTTGTGTTTTATGCAGCTTCTCAGTTAATCTTAAATCACGAACAAGCCCTTTAAGCTCCTGTCTTTTCCAGTCTCTCTACTCCCAGGCTTTGCTGAAACCTTTGCCCCTTTTAGCTGCACAGTGGAGCCTCTAAAAGCCAACTGCAAGCCCACTAAGTAATTATTTTTTAACTGATTGTGAAAGACAACTTTCCTAATCCACACTGCTGTGTAAAAATATTCACACCCCCTTGAACTTTTCAGCTACTTTCCACACTGCAACTGCAACCTTTTCTTGTTGATGTTGCAAGTGTTAGATCAACACAAAGTGCTGCAGGATTGGGAAGTGGTAGGAAAACAAAGCACAGTCCAAATGTAATTGTACCCATAAAAAGGACAAAATAAAGAAATCTTTCTACCTCACTAGTCAGGCTAGTGAGGTAGAAAGATATCTTTAAAGTTGGTTCACAAGGGTTAGTTTTAGTGTCGTTTCCACCCCAAACCTTTATTCCAGAGTGTTAGTTTATATTTAGTTGGCAAAAAAAATAAGGACAGCGTCTTTTCTAAACAACATATTTAAAACCTTTTGCAATAGGGGCGCAGGTGCTGGCGCATACACAGACAAGCCTATCCATTTTGCAATGGAGACAGGTGCACACATGCAAAAAAAGAAATTAGGCTGTAGGTTTTGAAAAATGTTCCCTCTCTCAGAGCTGGAAGAGTCACCCAGTTCAAACTAACCCAGATGTGGCAAGAAGTGAACTTTCACTTCTCCCTTCTGATTAGTCAGCAGGGTCCTCTGTGGTCTTAGCTCACTTCGTTCCCTGCTCATCTGCAATCCCAGCATACTTCATAAAAAGAGACTCAGATAAAAAACCCTCCAATCCTCAAACCAAATCCTTCTTACACACAACTCTGTGGGGGAAACAAGCTCATTGGGTTGCCTTGCTTTCAACATTCCTCCATCCCCCTTCGAGTTCAGGCGCTTATTTACACGGAGCAACCAGAGAAGGCCTTCTTTTTCCAGAGACTGCACCACTGTGACCCGGTGTAATGGAGGGGAAAATGCCATTGTTCCATGTTCCTGTTTCGCTTGGGGTAGAAAAACATTGCTTCCTCACGTCTACTGCTGCAGCACTTCAGAGCCAGGCATAACACAGGCATGCAAAAATAGATCTGCTTCTTAAAGTAAGTGAAAAAAAAAAAAACACTAATGGCCACAAACTTTGCCTGAGCAAAGCATATGAGCATTTCTTTAAATCTGCCGACACAAAGGAAAATAAATGCGAGGGCTATATTTACAGCCTTGTCAAATGCAAACACTTCCTATTTGCTCATGCGCAGGCAGCCCACCCATTTCTGTTATGACATTTCCTCTGACCCTTGCCCTCTGCTCATGTTGTCGCTAATTACCCCTGTTTAGTCTGAGTGATCTTGATAGACAGAAGAGGTGGGCGTGCACCTGAGAGTGCTGCAGGTACAAGAAAGAGGTGGAGGAGAAATAAGAGGCTCTTATTTCTATTTCTGTACAAAAGTGGAGGAAACTTCTCCCAGAGAACAACTCAGCTGAAAACAGATGCTTCAGAGCTTTCTCATCAAAAACTAGCAGCGTAGCTCATATTTGAATATGGATGAGCAGAGTCCCTCCTAATAAAGTGTTGTCAAAATAGATCAGAATGGACAACAACATATGCGAACAAGAGTAGAAGTGCTTTATGTTTTTACTTAACTTGGAAGAAAAACTACCCCACTGGAAAGTGAGATCATCGCTGACTCAGAATAATTGTGTAGCAATGTGAGTGACAAGAACTGAAGGACACAAAGATCAGTTGATAAATACAATGTGTCACTGTTTTGTTGTTACGTTTTGTCACTAAGTGACGGCTCAGCACCCCAGCTAATATTATATTGTCATGCTTAGAAACCCGAAACCATTCATAAAACATGATAGAGGTGGCTCAGACATCTTACTTGCAGCGCATGGGTTCCTGCACGCTAAATCTGTTTCAGTTAACATCACAGATGGTCCTGATTCTGACTAAATATTTGGCTTAAATGCTAAATGACAGATGGGCGAGGAGCTGAAATTATCAGGGTCTGTTGAGCAATAATATTCAAGATGAGATGAGATGAGATGAGGGTCTGTGCGAAAACCGCGGCAAGGTTGTGGTGTTTGTACTTACGGTGACAGGAAGCTCACTTTCGCTGGAGCTCAGCTGCCCGTTGATGGTGCAGTGGAACAGCTGGTCGTTATGGAAGCTGATGTTACAGGGATAGGAGCCAATCATCACCGAGTATTCCTCCGGCACCAGCTCCAGCTCACTCGGCACTTTCTGCTGCAAAACACATATAACACATGAGCCGGTCAGTGCCAAGAGTTTTCTCCTCTTTGAACAGGCCTAGGTAATAAAGATGCAAAGCCTTAGCCAACATGCAGATACAAGCATTGCAATACATTACTTTTCTTTCTATATTTTACAATGTTAGGGGTTATGAGTTAGACCTGCACAAAGTAGAGTGCGATTGTGATGCAGAAAAAATTGATACACGAAGTTTTAGATAAATATGAAGCTTGAAAAAAGTAAATGGTTTTGTAGTCAGCCCCCTTGAATGCAATTCCCCTAAATAAAATCCAATGGATCCTGCTTAGAATTGCCTTACTCATGGTGGCAACATGTTGGAGCAACTTTTTTTTAATTATTTAGGGCAGTTATGATGCGTAACCCTGGCAACAAGGCATTGGTTTTTACAACTGGGAACAACTTATTAGCATCTCAAAAGCTCAAATAATAACTGAACTGTGACCCCCAAGTCCCAGAGGAGTTGAAAAGGAGACTTCAAAAGTGGAGCGAGAAGGCAGAAGTTCAAACCATCTTTTCCATTGAACATAATGTGCAAGAATTATAGCCCCACTCCAGTGTCTCTCTGACCAATTTTCTGACAATACCTCCTGAGAGAGACTGAAAGAGGTGTAGCAAAAGCAAATGAGGTGGGTAGGCAGTGCTTGCGAACTACTGATGGTGTAATCAAGACATAGTACTGTGGACTACTGTGTTTACTGCCTGGATATTGAGTAGTTAGCATATCATGATAGTAACGAGACAGTCATACAGCAGCAGTCTGTAGTCAGAAGCTCCTTCAGATTTGTTGCAAGACTCACTACCACTCAAAATCCGATCTGCCCACAGCATCACCATCCACAACCACTACTCGGATGATATGAGTTTGTTTATTTACCTTTGAGATAAAGTACGTTTAAAACAAAATTTTCCTTCACATTTCAGCCAATTTGGAAAAGGGAATTAATCAAGGTGTGACTAAATCTCAATATAAATATATAGCTGTTCTGTGAAGAGAACAATCACAGAATGGGAGACTGGGGTCAAGACATTTCCTGGTGTATGAATACATTTGCTGTATGCTACAGTGAGCTGTCTGGGTGAGTCCAGAACAACACTCAGCGCCGTCGCAGAGGTCTGTAGCAATGAATCTAACTGTCCTACTTCTATCCAACACCCCCTCTCACTGCTGGGAGCTACACTAATTAAAGGGGCCCATCTCTGATTTTACACGTTACGTGTGACTTCAAGTCATGTGGAGTGGCAGACCTCAACCGTTTCATACAGTTCCACTTTGTCTTCTGGGTGTCCACAGGGAGCTTTCTACAGTCTGAAAAAAAAAAAAAAATCATTCCTACTGCTGGTGACATCATCCCCGCTGCCTTGGGCTTTACACACTGTCGGCTTGGAAAGTGAAGGATGTTTGTCTGCCAGTCAGGGTTCAGTAACATTTTTAATTAGGAAGCATTTTGGGAAATTTGTAATGTTGGGCCTCATCTAGAGTCAATCCAACCATGTCCATTAATCTAAAAGTGAGCATACATCAGCCTTCTCCGCAGCTTCATCTTACGTTTATGCGTCTGCTGCAAATCCCAAAACGATCCGTAGGGATGAGATTAAATTGCTGAATTATTCCTTTAATGGGAATTCCATAAAGTCTCTGTGGATCTTATGGATTTCTACTCAGAACATCTTCTACAGTTATTTTAAGCCTGCAGGGAGGTTTTTATTGGGTCTAATTTTTTACAGCTGTACTTGTTCATCGCTTATACACCCGTTTCCTTTGTGGGTGTTCGTCTTACAAGCTTAGATTTTCTACAAGGGGCTTGGCAGGTTTAGGGGTTCTGCAGAGAATCGTGAATCTAAGCAGGAAGACAAGATGCTGGAAACACTGCAGGTTAGACGTTCCCTGGCCTGAATCTTCTATTAATCGCTGGGGACACTCTCATCTTCCTCTCTCTTTGAGCTTTAACTGCTCTGCCTTCATCTACATTTTGACAAACAGCAAAATGCCCAGCTGGTTAAGCATCACAAGCTTGTCAGTCTAGATTAGATCAGAAAACCCAACATTATCATCACACCCTGTCTTTTTTCATCATCTTGACATGTGCCTCCGGTTTGACCTTTGAACTTATGACGGTTGATTCTTTAGCGTTTCAGATGGATTGGAGTCACCGTATTGAGAGAAGTACAGCAAAGCACAAATTCATTTTTTCAGCGGCCAATTTGTCTGGAGATTTGCTGCTGTCCTTGTTCATGACCCCACTATCAGTCAGGCTTCAGTCGCTGGACAGATGGTTTCACTTATGACCCTATGATAGTCAGGTGTACTTGACTGCATGGTTGAAACAAGGACTGTAAGCTCTCCAGGTTTCTGCAGCTGCAGAACAAGCTCAAATCACTGAAACCCCAAGATTTCAATTTTAAAGGGGACAGGTATCTAATTTATTTTCCAGTCATATAGCGCCATTTTATAGCACCATCAAGTAACTACGTCACCTTCTTTGAGTAGAAAAATGTGGTATATATGACTTAGAAGAAATTTGGTTTCGCTGTTAAAACCCACTTTCAGGACGTCATCACAACAATATTGCTCTATTAAGCCTTTAACAATTTTTTTTTTTACCACCGTTTCACTGAGAAGTAGTTTGTATGATGTTGATGATGGTGTTTGCTAATTGCTAATGCCGCTAGTCTGGATAAGCTGAGTGGGGAGAGGGTTTATGATTCATGAGAGCGAGCATTTATGATGGCTGCCATGGGAGACTAAAGGATTCCTCAAACCTTTATGAAACAATTAAAGCATCACTCCAGGTATGTTTTTGTTGAGGGAATAACATTAAATTATATAAAGCCCTAAAACGTTGATTTTACACAATACACCACTGTTAATAAAGATTTTTTTTTTTCCTGGATGGCTTGCACCTCTGAAACTCTCAGAATCAGAATTATTGTATTGTCAATAAGTAAGAAAGCACAATGAAGCTTAATGACTTTCTATTTGCGTCATATCTTCTTTATGTAAATTGATCTTGAGAACATCCTTGAGACTGATCTACACATGACTGAGAGAGAGATGTAAATCAAGACTAGACGTTTCCCTTAAAAGACCAACTGATCAAAACCATTCAGGCCTGGCTATAAATGTCACTACTGCGAGCCACAACCCACAACACAAGCACAAAGGACAAGTTGCAAAAAGGATGAAAAATGCCCTTTAATATTTCAACAAGGTCAATCCTCAAAGTGGACCAAATGTTTGCAAACACGCACAAGGCTAGTAACTCAGAAACAGCAGAGCTGCATTTTATCATTGACCTTTCATTCTTTATGTAATCCCAATAATTACATGACTGAAACACGCTTTGATCTCTGCAATTAACCTGGTATGAACAACACTGTGATTACTTATTGGAAGGATGACCAGACCTACAAAAAATTCCCCTGTTAGTTTGAAACAGCAACATCCCTTCAATATAATTAGGCCAAGTGAGGGAGTGTGTGTGTGTGTATGTGTGTCTTTATCACCAGAGGGTTTCCTTTCTGTGATTACACACAGAGGGTCCCTACAGGATGCAGCCTCTTTAACCTTTGCCAAAAAGTGCTTCGTCACAACCAACACACACACAGAAAATGAAAAGTATCATCCATGTATATATATATATATATATTGAAATACTTTGCAAAAATTGATTTAAAAATATGAAATTCACAATATTTTCTGTAGAAAACATAGTTGAATTAAAACAAGTGTTTTCTAAACTCTGAGGAAGGATGCACAGCAAACCCCACCTCTGGTCCTGGCTGACTAACAAGCTTCCTATTAAACAAACACATTCTGTCTGCAGCCTCCCCTCCCTTCAGGTCCACCGCGACTGGAATCCACCTTTCCTAAATAAAGCAGGAAACAACAGACAAGTCGCTCATGTAGGCAGGCAGAGACAGCGACTCCTGCAGCGACCTCCTCCTAGCACGCGCTAACACATAAAGAGGAGGTGGCATCATGTTCAGACATCCTTGTCTGTGCTGTTCCTGTGTGCGTGTCGCGCGGTGTCACAGCCGGCAGCCCTTTAACGTGATGGATTCAAGCAGACAGGTGCTTAAATCAGCCAGAACGCACAAACACGGGGCCTCCCACTGAGCTGCCACTGCACCCCACCCTACCCCACTCACACCTCCAACAGAAATCAACATGCTTAGGAGGACAGGGTCTTTGATGTGTTTTATGTGCCTCTGGTTTATGTGAATATAAATAAGGACACGCTCAGCTCTGTCTGATGTGCACAGTCGAGTTTGTCTTGTTAAGTAATGATTTTGCATCCAAAAACCAAGAAAGGAAATTCCATCACTTGTTGATGGCTTTTAGTGATCACAAATATTTGTCACAAATATTTGCCACGAAGTCAGCTTGGCATCATAAGAGAGCACTTAACCAAAAATAATAAGCAATGAATGTGTCTAATTATATCTAGCTCCTCTCTGACTGTGGGAAAAGCAGTGCCAGTTGTCTGACTTGTTCAGTCCTTCTCTATAGGAACACATTTTGACCAAAAAGATGAATTATGACAGAATGATTCTTTATCCTGCACCATAATCTAAAAAAAAAAGACTCTAAAAAAATGAGAGAATCCAATCTTTAACTAACTTCAGAACATTGTTCACTGTTTTTAACTAATCACAGGAGCCATAATTATTGACATCCATTATGCTTATGATAAAACTGACATAGTTAGGCATTGTTTCTTTTTATCTATCTATTCTTTACATTTTAAGTGAACTAGAGGGCCACTTAATTGTAATTGTAGCCTACTTGCTTAGCTATAGATGTTACATTACACAGCCTCTGCCTGCCTCTTTTATCCATCTCTTCTTAATGAGAAACACAAGAGAACATATCATCCATAAGACATAAAGTAGCTTCTTGTCATAACTTATCCATATCTGCAGACAGAACGACAAATAAAACCTTAAGAACAGAGTAATAGAGTTGAGGATGTGACAACTGGATGCCAATGAAACTCTTATGTTATTGTTTTTGTTTCTGCATTAGCAAAAAAGATGTAAATAAGGAAAACAATTGCATGTAAATCTACAATTGTGAAAAATAGTAAGTTCACAGCCAGCACCGAGTTTAGATGATAATGTTTATAATCCCACTATATAACCCTGCATAATATACCCTTTCAAAGGTTTAGGTTGCTTTTGAATATCCGTGCTACACTGACTGGCAGAAACCTAGCTTGTTAAATTATTGTGATAAATTAATTTTATTATTAACTATTAAACAGTAAGGTAAGATAAAATAAGAAGATGGAAAGAGCATCACAACAAGTAAGCTGTCTTGTTAAAAAAAAATATTTCATTGATTAGAAGAGTATGAAAATTGTTGACATATTGTTGTTTATGAAATGCTATTATCATATTGTTATTTCCCAAAAAATCAACTGCTTGTACATTGTTTTGTTATCTTTCAAATGACGATGGTTTTATTTCCTGCCACAAACTTACTTCTTGGTTGGACGAAAACTGACTTAAAATCTAAACCTGATAGGTTATGAATGATTTTGGGTTTAGCTGTAGCTATAGCAACTGGGACTAAAAACCACTGTTCAGGATATCAGTCAATAATAAATTCTGTCCACATTAAAGATTTATTGAGTGGATTTTTTTCAAATCCTTTTCAACCCATTAACGGCACATATTTTCTTTGGTGAGCCCCAAACCAACTTCACACGGTCTGATAAGGGGTCTGGTTCACTGAGCAGGCGAGGGGGGCTGACAGGAAGTGGCTTCAAGCTCCCGCATGCCACAAAACAATGTCGCAGAATGGGCGCCACTCGTATACTTCAGGGTTTAGTCACTCATCTAACAGTAAAATTAAACAGAGTTATGAAAATATACAAGTGACAATGTTCCTGAAACAGGCAGGAGACATGATTATGATGTGAAAGCTCCCACGGTTCTCTCAGTGTCTCTGAACCAACTGCAATCTCAGTTTTCTTTCAGTAAGAAATATCCCAAAAAATAAAGCCTAATGTTAAAAAAAACAAAAATGTTAGTGCATAACCACGCACACACCCACTTACAGTCATTTTAGTTGTTTACATAAACTTCTCAGATTTTCTTTGAGTTTCATGCTCGATAGACCGATTAGTAATTCTCTTTTCATCTACTTAGTAGCTAAAAACAACACAAAATAAACCAATGTAAACATAACGTCACTGACTTAGGTCTGAAGACCTGAAATAAACTCAGGTCATTTAACATTTCTAGATGTGTTGCCATTCGGCTGCATCAGCTTCTTCTGTCAAATGTATCTGAAGCAGCATTCCCTCATGTTCAATTTATTTATCTGAAACCAAACCACTACAGGTCTCTTACTATGAGTGTACACAGTGTTCAGAGGTTAAATAAAGTTTAAATTGTCAGTTTATTTGAATATTTCCTGATTAATTCCCATAAATTTGATTTAAAAGTTGCTTAAAATACATCAAATCAGTGATGAATTACTACAAACGATGGGAAACAGGAAGGAAATATAATTGTGATAAAAGTCGGTTAATATTAAATAAATCACGCCTGAACACAGCAGGGATGCACATCCTGTCTCAGCTTCGTTACTCACATTGATGATGAGAGTCAGTGGCTCCCCTGAATGGTGTTTGATCTGCTTGTCCTTGTTGGTGGTGAAGAACTGAGGGTCCTCCAAGTATCCCAGCTGGAAATGCTCTTTATGATGCTCCCCGTCCTCTTCCTCAGGCCTGTCATCGGCGGACGAAGGGCTGTCTCCGGTGTATGGGACCCCGTTCAGGACGAACTGCACCGAGGTTTCCTGGGATTGGCTGGACTCCGGAGATAGACAGGTGATTGTTGAGGAGGAGAGAACGCTGCAGTTCTGCAAAAAAAAAAAAAAAAAATAAATAAAAGCTAAAACCTTTCATGAAATAATAAATTACACTCAAAGTAGCATGGCTGAAAAATTGCTTACTGTTTGCCCAATTTCCAGGACATTCATGATGACACTCTGAACCAGATCAAAACCGTGACCTTTAACCGTGATGGTCCTGCCACCACTGTGACACAAACACACGACAATCGTTACATCGCAGCCACTAAAAATTTGCCTAGAATTCACTTACAGTGCTTCTGGGAGTTTACTCACCTGAGGAAGCTCTTCGTGGGGTGGATGAAGCTGATAGTTGGGTTTTGCTCATAGGTGTACATGGTGCTGAGGTTTGCTTCCTCACAAGGATGGTCCTCGAACTCCACACAAACCGTCACCAGCTCAGCGTCTGCCTCCAACGCTGGAGGCATGATGCATTTAATCGTTTGATCCGTTTTTCTGGGGGGAAAAAAATAAAATAAAATAAAATAAAAAGATGTAAACACTGTTACCCGCAACTTGTGATGTGTAGCAAAAAGTTCAATCCTAAAAACTGTTTCTGATTACAGCTGGAGTTACTTTTTTTTTTTTTGCTGCTTGGCAGACTTTCACAGGAACGGTGGAGCTATTTTGGTATGCGCTATGGCAACAACTAGAAGTGCTGAATTTAATCTTGTGAGAAGTTATGCAGAACTTGCAAAGCAATGCACTCTGAATATTTAATTGTCACTTCATGCGTTTAATATCCACTGTTTAAAAAGGAAATCTATTAATACGTGGGAAGGAAAAGAAACCATGCAAATGATTTGTAATTGTAATGGGCAGAATTCACACAGACTTGCAAAGCAGGGTCACGTCGTCTCTAAAATATACAAACAATCTGAGAATGAAAATGTAAAAAAAAAAAAAAAAATGTTGTACTCACTCTGTGATGGTGCACTCCTGTGTTCTGTTGACCTTTACTCTAACCTGTGAGCCGATGTCCAAATGTTCTCCACGGATCGTCACCCGGGTTCCTCCAGCCCGAGAACCTTTCTCTGGATACATGGACTCCACGTTGGGCTTCTGCATTCAGAACAACGATTCAGCAAATGACAAGAAAGATATCAGGTTGATAACAGAACACTTGACAGCTTTTCCTATTTAGACATTTCTCCTACATAATGCTTTTCTTTGAAACAAATGAAAACACTTCTCTTTCTCTGAGGTTCACAAGTCCAGTTTTTGCGAATTAACTGAGACAGCTGCTGGCTATAACAATTAAGAAATCTGTGAAGATAGTCCATGTTGCAGCACATCATTACTATGCAGCTGAAGCCATTAGCCCTTTGGGGCCCGGCAATGGTAGGACAGTCATTCGGTGCTGCACATTTCCCTGCAAAAGTATTCACACTCCAAACTGCAGCGTACTTAATAGGAATTTTATGTAACAGACACAAAGTGGTGCATAACTGCTAAGAGAAAATAATAATTTTTTTGAATATTTTTTACAATTTTTTTTTTATTGTTTTGTGCATTTGTATTTATTAAATTTATTTGAATATATATCTGGGAATAGGGTATTATATTTACATCAAGAAAATATGAAAGTTTTACTTTTATTATGTTTTGTTGGTGAAATGTCAGCATGAAATAAATACATGTAGGATCATTTATCATCATCCTCAAAAATAATCTGCCACAATCAACTGTCTTCAGAAGTCACCCGGTTAATAATAAGAGAACACCAATGTATAATGTCTCTTATCAGTGGCTGGACTTTAATATGTTAATTTCAATTAAATAGTTACATGGAATTTAATGCGTTAAAAATGTTAACGTTAATGCATTTTTCATTTTTTACATACAAAATTTTAAACCGGAACCTTACTATTGGGTTTCTGGTATGCCCATAAATCTGACGCACAACAGCATTCAAACACTGGTGGCCATCAAAGCTGCTTTTCTTGCCTCACTGAGGATTCCCGGAACACTGGAAAACTGCGTATAAATGCACTTTGGACCAATCTGATGGCTGAATAACCTAAATGATTAAAAACAATAAGATGTCTATTCATTAATTAATTTAACAGAAAAGAATCGGTCTAATATGTGGGAAGGGTTTTTGGAATAAAAATGTTGCAATTAATTGTGATCAATTAAGTACAGACCCTGCAATTAATTAAAAAAAAAAAATTAAGTGGGAAAAGTTGGGGAGATGTTTAAACCGGAGTTAAGCTGTGATCGTCTCATGGACCACTGTTCAATCTAGCATGCAAACAGATACAAGAGCATGCAGTATATTTGCTAGGCTGTCACCACCAGGTCAAATGAGGTTAGCATTAGCCAGAGAAGCAGCCAAAAAGCCTATAACAACTCTAGAGATTAACAGCCAGTACAGCAGAATCTGTCGACTACAAAACTGCAAATATGGCCTTCATGGATGAGTGAGAAAGAGGAAGCCCTTGTTTGAACACAGGCAGTTTATAGAGAGAGAAACATGGCAATGGCTGCATCATGCTGTGGGAATGTTTCAGCTTAGGGATAGGGAAGCTAGCCACAAAACACTTTGAATGTAGGCACAAATTTTAGTTTCTAAATGTACAAAATTAGTAAAGAGATGCACTAAAACACATGCAGCTGCAAAGCATTGGGTCAGGGAGTAAATACACATGCACTAGTCATATTTATATTGGTAAAATAAAATGTGAAAACATGTAGTCTCTTTCATCCACTTCATAATAATGTGTTGGTGTAACACATAGAACCCTAATAAAATAGAAGAAAACGAGTGCTTGGCATGGCACTGTGGCTTAGAAAAAAAATATTAATCAAATATCGAAAGGGCAGGGCAAAAGCTCTAAATACTTTAAAACTTGCTCATATTTATATATGTATATATAAATAGAGAGAGTCCTAGGGCAAATTATCCTCTTAGAATTCTGCAGCCACCAGAATCAGCATTCCTGCTTTTTCTAAACTTTCTATCCCCTCCATGAACCTCGCCTCCAGGGATGCCTCTTATCCTTGCTGACAGGATTCACTTCCTCAGCGAGCAGGGATGGGGCAGACCTATTGTGCTTCGCTGTGTCAATGTGGGTGGAAGGAGGCAGATGTTTCCGTTTAAAATTTTGAGGAAGGAGATGCAGCAAAGACACACATCCTGTCTCCAAAACAGCTTTTCCCCTTTTTCTTCCCCCTACATCTTCCCCTTCAGCCTGGCTCTCGTTGAGCTTCTTAGAGATAAAAAAATAAATAAATAACTACCAAACAGGAGTTCCCACAGTAGTATCCTCCTTTAAACTCTCTGTTTCAGAGTTTTTTCATCTTTATGTATCATGATGGGTTTTCAGATTGGGGCTATTGCTCTGCAGTATGACTCATGGACAGAGCTGCCCTTAGAAGCCGCTGAAACGACGCTGTGAATTATGAAACAGTCTTTGTCTATGAACACAGAGAGAAACAAAGAGCTTACACGGGTATTTCCACAGGCTGAATGTCCTTATTCCAATGAGAGGTTGTGTGGGCTGAGGTTAATTTCCACACCACTGGCCCGGTTTACCTCAGCCACTGATAAATTCAGAGTAAAAGGGATATTCCAGGAGTCTCAATATTTGTTTTTGTTGGCAGAAAAAAAAAAAAGAGCTACATGACAATTACTTTTAGCTTCAGCTCAGATGGACGTTTGAAGATTCCCACACACCAACATTCCTCTTAGTCATAAAACACATCTGTTAACACTCAGCTGACACTCTTGGGAAGGCCTTCCCAGTGGGGAGCGAAGCAAAAGAGCATGCAGGAAGAATGCGGAGGAAGACACAGACAGAAGGGAGAGCAAAAGCCCAGCAGGAGGGCCGGACACTGGAAGAAGGCTCACCAAGTAGGCGAAGCTTTCCTTTGACGTCCCCGTCCCGCTCTGATCCACGTCCACGCGGACAGAATCCGTCCCGTCACGTAGGGACCTCCCGGTGCGACACACGAGCCTGAGGACGGAGCATCACAGCGAGAGATCAGTTAATAAAAACACAATCTGGATAACACAATACAGCATCCAATTTTGATTTAATAAGGACTTTAATCAAGCCAAATTGTGTGCGAGGGAAATCTGATTGTGACGGCTAAACAAAGACATAATATATCTGGGAGAATGGTTCTTATGAGCTAATTCATCAGTCCCTGTTGCATTTACATATGGAATCAAATAACGCCTCGAAGGTATCAGATATGAGCAGATGTAAAGTTCAAAGCCCCCCCTGACCAAATGCGTCTAACCACAAAGGAGATTAGGGGGCTGCCGAGGCTTGTTCTCCAGCCTCCTGGCTGTGATTAAACCCTCTGCCACCACTGCACGCTCTGCAGGGACGACTCGTATTAATGACACAGTGGAGAATGGAGGCACGGGGACCCACTGCTCTGGGACCTCGGAGGGATAAATGTACCAGGGGCGGGATATAACCTTTATTCCCTCCAATGATCCCCTCCAGGTTGACAGCTTGTTGGTTTATTCAGTCTGGTACCTGCTGCTGCAGAGGTTAGAAACTCTCAGCCAGTGATCTGAACACTGGCAGACATCACTGGGAATTTGCAGAAGTATTCACACCTTCAGGACTTCTTGTTACATTTTGTCACCTTACAGCGACAAACTAGGATTTGACATAGACCCCCTAAAACTAGCGTATAATTGTAAGAAGGCTGATCTGATTGAGTTTGCACAGAAGAATGGGGGAAAAATATCTGATTGCAAGGAGATTAGAGTCAAATGAAGCAAAAAAAAATAATGATTTTTTTTTTATATATTTGCCCGAGTAAAAGCAGCTCAATGCAAATGTTCCCCGCCCTTTTTAGATTTGTGAAAATTTTGAAAACCATGTGGCATTTTCCTTCCACTGCACAATTACTTATGTGTTTGTGTATGACTACCTACCAGATAAAGTGCAGTGAAAATTGAGCTATGAATACTTTTGCAGGGTACTGCATGCAAGCATAGGAGCCGCGTTTCAAATAGACAAACCTGGTTTGGATGTACAATAAGATTAGGCAGAGATTCATTCAAGCAGTTGTGGCTAAAACTAGAAAGAAATTTGCACTCGAGTGTGCTTTTAAATATGCAACTCAAACTGAAACGTGCTTTGTGTTGACTGTATCTAAGACAGAGCGACTGCAGCGTCTAATGAGCCCATTTTAAAGTGTGAATTTTGCTCCTGTGCCTGAGTAGCTGTTGAAAATACTCTAAAATAACCAGCAGTAGCTGCAGACCCTGCTGAGGCCTACGGTGCTGCTCATTAATAACAAGAGCATCAGGTAAAGAATGTCATTACCCTCAAATTAAACTCCTGCCATCACCTGGCACAAGGACGCTCTTTGAGAAAAATGCATCATTTCACAGGCTCTAATTTGGAGAAGAATGAAAAGGGACAAATATAATGAAACATGAGTAATCTCAGGTTCAAGCCTAGGGGAAATAAGAGACGCGGAAGCCTGAATCAGCCTGAGCATGCACAGTTTTTGCAGACTCAAGGGTTATCAGAACAGTATGTCGTATTATTAAACATCTGCTGCTGAAAACTAATGCAGAAGACTATGTGGTGCATAAGAGAAACTGGTAAAACTAATTACTATTTAAAGAGTAAAAACAAAGCTTTTTCAGCAGGTGATTGCCAGAGCGGAGGAAGCCAGCTGCATCTTAACCCGACCCGGGTGAGACGTTCACCAAGGTATTGACAGAATCGCTCCATACCAAAGTGCATAAAATACCCTGATTTATTTGATGTTTATATTCTGTAATGTCATAAAACATGAGATGTTTCTGTTCGCCATCCTACAATGCTGGAGATCAAATGACCAGCCAAAATACATGAAACCGACAATTTTCACTTTCTCAAGGGAGAATGAAATGACCACCACTGAAGTGAACTGCTGAAAAGAATATGATGGGTTTCTGTTTAGTTTGAGGCCGCTACTGTTGCTTTTGTTGTAACTAAAACCCAAAATTACACAAGACTGAGCAATTTCCCGCATGCAGATCCTGTGCTGTAACACAACCACAGTCTAACAGTCCTTTGCTCAATCAAGCATTTAAAGTGTTGAACTATTTCTCATCTTATGAAGCAAAACCACAGACTTTGTTGTATTTTATGTGACAGATCAGCACGGAGGAGTACACAGAAGGAAAGTGATCCATGGTGTTCTAACTAGTCCAGGAACTTTGAACATTTAAACTGACTGTTTGCTAAGCCATCAATTTAAGCCAATTTGATTCAGGTGTGGGGGTAGAGAGGACCAATCTAACGCAATATGTTCCGATTTAACCTGTTCATTTGTAGTTCTGGCTGTGTTTGAGGTTGTTTTCCTCCTGGAAGGTGGACATCTATCAAGGCTTTTGCAGAATCTGAGAGATCATCTTTTACAATGGCCCTGCATTTACCTACATGTCTCTCCACATTAGTTTGGAGCAGCTTCTATGGTTGGTGTTCCACCACACATAACATTTTGCATGTAGGTTATACATGAAGTATTTTCTAATTTGGGCAGGTTACCTTCTTCCACATGTTTCCTGTGTCTCCTAAGGCTTGTACCAAACCTCAAACAGGAGTTCTGGCTTCCTTTCAGTAATGGCTTTCTTGTAGACAATCCTTCATAAAGCCTTAATTTGATGAGTGCGCCATTATCAGCCGCCTTGTCGATAAATCCTGTCACCTGAGCCTTGGCTCTCTGCAGAACCACCAGAATTGGAAGAGCTGCTTCTAATGCTTTCTTCACCAGACCTGTAAGTTCAGCTGTCTTGGCAGGTTTGTGGTTGTACCTTCTTCTTTCCGTTTCGGCATGATAGAGTGAACAGTTGCCTGTAAGATGGTGGATTTTATTTGGGGTTTCCAAGTTTGCTGAATTACATATGTGCATACCGACACTCATCGGATTTGTTTTTGCAAACAATGTCCAAGCCATGCATAATTTCCCTTCCACTTTACATGTAGTATTTCCTTAAATAAAACGCATCATGTTCTGCAGCTGTAACATAGCAAAACACAGAAACGTTTACAAGGCAGGTTTATGTTTCTGAGGTTTTCTAAAAGATTGCATTCCAAACACACACAAACAATAACAAATTCAGAGTCTTGGTATTTCTCTGTGATTGCATGCTGATGCAGAGCTGTCCCAGTCAAAAGGACATGCTGTCTCCCAGCAGGAGCAAACAGAGCCAGACTGACCCCCGCTCCACATTTCGATGCCGCCACACTGCAGAGGTATTATGGCTGTCAAAGGGCAATATTTGGGCAAGTACTGAAGTGTCTCCTATCATTTCCCCTGAGCGGCTGATGAGGATCATCAACAATCAGCTGTGTGCGTGTGCATGTGTGTGTCTGACGCGAGTGTTGTCGGACTCTTGCCAAACGGACAGGGCGAGGGCCACTTAGTGCTCTAATGAAATTGATAGGAAGGGCGGTGTGAAGAATTTGCGACAGATATCAAGAGATGCACTTCAAGTAAATGAGCTGCGCCCAGGCTGACATTGCCATTAATTAACATGTCAACACAGAGTGAGAGGAGAGGAGTTCTTCCAGAGCTGCCCACTTTTCTTTTCAGCACACAGATGTGAACTTTGGCCTTTTCCAGCACACGATTCGGGCACCTGTCTCAGCAGCTTCGGTAAATGGGGTCACATGCGTATGTGCTGCGCTTGTATGCTGATGAGTGTGGGAGTCTGCGAGAGCCATTTTGAACTCGAAATCTCACAAATGAGGGTAATTAAAAAGAAAACTGTTTAAAACTTTCAGGAGAGAGGCACCAACAGAATCCATACATTTTCCATACACCTGTAATCTTGCTTGTAGCATTGCAAGGAGGGTTATTAGTAAGATTTAGACATAGTTGAAATCATGTTTATTCATGTGCACTATATTAAAATACACATTTTACCTTTTTCTCACTGATATCACTCCCTGTTTCCCTGTTTTAAGTTAGGATTGCTAACATTATCCTTCTTATTTTCTTGGAACTTGGTAGTATTGCTAGCTTAGCTCTACGATTTGGTTCAAATATTTATGGGATCTTTTCACAAATGTCTCATAACAGATTGCTGTAATTTTAGCCCATTCCTCCTGACTGGTCTAGTGAAACTCAGTCAGGTTGCCTTGTAACTTTCTTGTAAGACAGAGTTTGTGGGACGGACACCCTGTCCAAAAGACTGACTGTTTTGTCATTTAGTCACTTTGTAACTAATATGGTTTTATGCTTAGGGCCACTCTCGATTTGACAGAGTCATTTGTGCAAAAGCTTTAACTGTCTTGAGATGTTGCTTCAATTTTTCAACTTAATGTCTTTTCCTCGTGATGCTATCTATGTTATGAAGTTCACCAGTCCCTCCCACAGCAGAGCATCCGTACAACATGATGCGGCCAAAACTGCAATTCACACTGCGGATGATGTTCTCAGGCTTGTAAGTGTCTCCATTTCCTCTAATGTAATGATGGTTATTATGGAAAAAATAAACATTTCAATATAAGTTTCATTATACTACTGGACACATCTCCTAAAAATTATTTCTTTGTGAAAATTTAAAACTGCAATCCAGCGTTTTATGTCACTTTTTAGTGGCCTTTCATTAGTATGGCTTCATTGTGAGAAATCACACTCCGTTACCATATTCATAAAGTCTTGCTTTGGTACTCAAGTTGATTCACACATTTTGCTATAAGACACATTCATCTTTTCATCACAGTTGGACATTCCCAAGATGTTTATACTTGTATATAATTGTTTAAACGGATGAACGTGGCACCTTCAGGCATTTGGGTATTGATGGATTAGACTTCTGGAGGGCCAATTCTTTCCCACAAGACATCTTGCATGTGATTTTTCCCATGATGTCACACAAGGAAACGATGTGTTTAAGCTTCAACTTTAATGTTGTGAAATTAACTAATCAGAAACTTAAATAGCCATGACATCCTCATCATCTGGTTCGCAAAATTGTTTAAAATTTTTTGAATCTGAAGAAGTCAACAATTTAATATCTCTCTAATTGTTCTAGCAAACAGAAGTCATTTTGTTAATCCTAACCGACTAAAAACATGTAAGACAGATTTAATCTCATAACATCTGGTTTCAACTCTTTCATTTTATGTTTAAATTACCAACTGTCAGATGTTGAAGCCGAGATTAAAATATTCCAGCTTAAGTGATAAAATAAGATCAAAGTTGATCAGACACTGGATGTAGCAACAACAAGGTGTGCTCATGCATGCGTGTGTAAGTCAAAAGTGCTGACAGTGTCAGATGCACTAACATGTTGTGATTTGTCAGTGAGTCTTAAAGCAGACAGAATGTTGCTCCTCTGCCACAGCAGCCAGGCTCGGGAACCAATGAGAAATGAAGACGGGAGATTTGATCATCCCCGGAGTGAAACGTGAATTCTTTTTTTCTTTTTTTTTTTTTTTTTTTGTCTGTTTAGGGAAGAGGAGGGGTGCGGATGTGTCAGGCGTTTGGAGTGACAGGTGAGACCTGCAGGTCACCCTGGAACTGGTTTTAAAACAATGATTGGCTTCACTGGAGCACGACCAGATAAACACTTCTATTCAAGGAACATTACAGATACTGAATAGAAGTTTTGGATGTAATTTTGGAGTTACTGAGCTCTTTTTCGCCAGTGTCAAAGCAGGGTCCTGCTGTCTCCATGGTGACAGTGCAATGGTCCCCGAGCCACGAGGGGATAGCGGCGGAGTCATTTAAATTGAGAGATGTGCTGCATAATAATATTTGTGAAAATTAGCCTTGTGAATACATATAAACTAAAACACAAATGGATGGCTGAGATTCTTCTTTTGAGACCAGAACAACACAGATATTATGTGAGGAGATGGTAAGCTAAGCTATTTGCATGTGTTTTTCCTCTTTTTTTTATTTCTTTCAATAAAAGCTTATGAGTCACTAACTGAAAATAACCACTGACATTTTTTTTTCCACTTACTGTCTCGTCAAAAGAAAAGAAAAAAAGATTAATTTTAGATATATCTATTGTTATTTTAATGGAGTGCAGAGGATTTAGGGCCAAGAACTGCATGTCTGATTGGAAGGTCTAACAACTTTACAAATACGATTGTCTCTATTTGGCTTTGTTGCTGATAACACCTAACATATCTATTACTTTACAAAGACACATATACCTTAGGGATGTATCAGTACGATCAAAAAGTGAAGAACTTATGTCAGGTGAGATTGCTGGCCGTTCAAGCCTGGTCGTTAAAGGAGGGATTGGTAATTCTGGCAGTTTTAAATGGGAATTACTGCTGGAAAATCTCCATAAAGTTCGTCATCAGAGGTCAAAGTGATCTAAAATGGCTGTGCTGAATGTGAACTATAGGAAAAACAGTGAAGCAGTGTAATATTTGAACTCCATTTAATCTCACACTTTGGAAACTTCACTCAGGACCTTAAGCAGGATGGATTGTGAGGCTCTCCACTCTTCCTCCAGACTGCAGGACCATGTTTTCCTCATTAAGTGCAAAACTTCCTTTATCTGAAAAGAGGACTTTGAACCACTTGTTATCTCAGGTTTAGGAGTTGTTTTAGCATGTCTTGCTTATTTTTCCTTCCACTTAATTTCCCTTCAAAAAGGCCAGAGACATCTGTGGATATCATTGAAGCATCTCTTTGTCATTAGAGTTGCTATGCTTACAGTCCTTGGACAAGACTGAACTAACTGTCTCTCTCTAGGTGCAAGCCAGGGCTTTTCTATTTAGTTGCAACAGGGAGACCAAATGTTTAAGAAAATTGTGCAGCACACAAACAGAGCACTAATTGAGTTTGAAAAGCATGATTGCATTTGGCGGTTGCTTTCAGAATATGGGCAAAAGCTAATGTACAAACTGAAATCAACAATTTCCACCCCGATGAAGAGATAACAAAGCACATTTAGTCACAACACTGTTGAAACTTGATCCCCAAAGCATGACTGGACATGCTGATGAATCATTCAATGAGTAAAAAGCCAGTATGAAACTCTGAGAAGACATTTCAGGAGGCAGTGAAATGAAAAACACCTGGTTCTGCCTGTACCTACTCTTGGCAACGCTTGGGCATCAGTTTATTATACCTATGATTGTTTTGGATAATAAATCAAAACGTTTCAACTGTAATTCAGACTGCAAAGCCACAACTCGAAGTGCTAGTTACTCAAGTCTATGAGCTTTCTTTGGATATACTTCCCGAGAATTATTGTGCACTTAAAATGAGACAGTTCACATGCACACACAAGATACCATATGAGGACGCCATGATGCAACATGTTTGGGGTTAAAATCGAGGCATTTTTCAATGATCTTTAATGGGGAAGCTGACTGCAATCTAAGTGTTTGCCTGGTTGACAGGCAACAACACAATAATCTAAGAAATGCTAAAAAGACACAAAAAAACTAAAATATATATTGTAAGCTTAGGAAACTTCATGCACATCAAAATAAAAAATTTGACAGATGTTCTTGACAACAGTGAGTTAGAATACCAGCTAGTTGTCCTCAGCATGCAACTGAGCACGCACCATTTATGACATCATGTTTCTTCTCAAGCTGCAATAACGATGTAGCTTTAATGATCGACATAAAAGTATTTGGTCATTGAGCAATAAAACCACATATGGTCTTAGTAACAGTTCTCTAGGTTCGGCAAATCTATTTTTATTAAACCCAGTAGCAATATATATGTGAAAAAAAATAAAAATAAAATAACTTGATGGGGAAAAACGTTACATATTTTTATCACTAGATGCACAAGTCAGTCACCAGAGACATGAAGAAATCAATTTTCACAAAATCATCTCTGATTTGTGATCAGCAAGTCAAATGATTTATTTACTTAGTCAAAAATTACAAAGTTTGTGTTTTGCATGCATGCAAAATAGGAGAAAATTAGGAACAGTCCATTAGTCACTTTATTAAGTAATTAACCAGCAGTACTTTAATTTTCCATCTGAAAACTATTGACTCTATCAAAGAATCGTCAGTAAATTTAGTCTATTTTTTGTTTTAAATCTTGAAAAAAAAAATCTTCCGCAGGGTCTGACGTCACAGACAATTGGAAATCCGTATCCTAATGGGTGCATCTCCACTTATTCATGTATTCTTCTTTCTCCTCAGTAATACATGTCAATAACCAAGAATTGTGGAGGATTTGCACTGAGCAGGTCTGGTAAGCTCTCCCCTCAGCCTCATGTTTTTATTTATATGTCTGAGAAAATTCCCACAGTTGCCTTTGAAGCCACATAAAACTATACGACTTTAATGTTTCCCCAACACATGGCCAACATTTCCCCCCAGAAGACGTGGAAACATGGGATTTGGAGTCCGGTTCACCTTCAAAAACCACTCTAAGCCCTAAATTGGAGGTATTTAGACAGTTTCAGGAGTTCTGAAAATGTTTTTGAAGCTTTCTTTATGTTTTCCCAGCCGATAAGGCATTCCAGAGCAGGGAGCTTGGTTCCTGTTTTCAGTCAGAGTTGGCAGCTCCAACTGTACTGCCTGAGTTAAGGCACAACATGCTCCCATCTGACATGTTCACTTCAGGATTTCTTTCAGTAACAAATCTTTAGATTCTCCATTTAGTTTTTTTGTATCTCTCTCTTCTTTCTGTCCATCCAATTGCTCACCTGCCTCAACGCATGTCGGGTTACCATGGCAACAGGTAATTGGCACCTGTCATCACAAGTCCCGCCTGCGACGTTGCTGCATATTTTAACGGGTCTTTAAATAAAAATCTTGCGAGGATTTTTCTCAGCCCCACCCCCCTCCTCCCCCCCCCCACACCACCTTCGACAGCATGGATAACGAAATAAGTATGAGGTGCGAGAAGTCAGCAGAAAACACTCAAGCCACAAAAACACCATTGCAAAACACGCGACTTTGTGACTCATTAAGGAAGTTTCTGTTTGAATACTCACTCGACAGAGACGGTGTAGCGCTCGGGCAGGAGATCACAGGGAACGTCTCCTATAAAGATGTTCACTCCTGCTGGCCTTCGTCCCAGGTTCCTGCCCTGTACCGTCAGCAGTGTGCCTCCTTCAACAGGGCCCCTCAGGGGGGAGATCTGACAAAGACAGAGTGAGGCAATGAACACACACACACACACACCAAAAAAAGGGGAAAAAAAAACACACACACAGAAGGTGCCGTAATAAGCACAATAAATTAGAGCTCATAAGAAGATTACTGCCCTAAAATCACTCAAATAATGATGGGTGATAATTGAGGCGACAGAGAATTAGCAGGGGCCATGCGTGGAGATGTGGAGCGTGTCACGGACAGAGATGGGGATTCAATTGAACAGACACACGGTTTAGCTATATGGGCGCGCACCGCAGACTCTTAACAGAGCCTGTCTGAGACCCTTCAGTCTCTAATCCTCTACAGCACATGCAAATAAAGAGCAGGCTAAGAGCCCCCTTCACATCCCACGAGAGACAGACAGAGTGGGAAAGTGAGGGCTGGAGAGGCGAGGTGTAGAGCACAGCAGAAAGGTGGATGAGTGGGGAGGCAATTTAGAGAACCGAGTGTCGAGAGGAGACTGAATGCTGATGATGGTGGTGAGAGAGCAAAGCCTCAACAGGGGAATTAATGCGCAGCGCTTTTTCCCCTTTCATCTGTTTTCCTGTGTCTGCTCCGTCAAATTCCTTAGTCCTATTTCAGCTGTTGTTCTGAGGCGTGCTCTCACGCGTCATTTCAGCCCCTGCCTCTGCTTCCTTCATTTTCCATTCGGAAAACCATGGGGAGGGAACAAAGGAGAGGAAACGATCACCTCCTCAGTCACGGGGAGAAACAACCTTAAAGATAGCATCTCTGAGACCAAGACAGAAGAAATCCACTATGGTCTAGCCGGTGTAGCAAGGCTGCGCTTCGGCAGCGCTTCTCAGAATAACCTCCAGGCCGACGCGAGGTCGCCATGACCCCCTTCTTGGTGTTATTAGTCTGGCTCCACTGCTAAGGGAAACTGTGCTGTAAAGTGAAAACAACACTTGTGTTTGGTCTGGGTGAGAGGACAAGGTTTGCCTTTACATTCAGACACCCACCAGGAGCTCACAAGAACACCGGGACAGATGAAAAAACTCTATATCTCCCAGGAAAAAAGGGAGGGAGGTTAAAAATAGCAAGGATGAACTTCTTTAAAGTCTGAGTAAAAATAAACTGTAGAAGTGAATGTTCAATGCCTTGAAAAGTGTAAATTCCCCACGTTTTACAGAGCAACACAAAGTACTGCAATAGAAGCACCTTGGAAGGGAGTCGCTAATTAAATGTTTTTAGGTAAGATTTTACCAGCCTTATGTATCGCACAGATTTTTCCTTATTCTTTGAAAAATGCTCCAAGCTCAGTCAAACTGGTTATAGAGCATCTGTGAACAATGCTTTAAGTCTTGAAACAAATTTTCAATTGAATTTAAGTCTGGACTTTGACTGGACCATTGCATCAAATGGAAATTGTGCTATGTTCTGAGCTATTCAATAGTAGCTCCAGTTTCATGTTTAGGATCGTTGTCCTCCACCCTACGTTTTTTTCCACGTACCGCGGCTCCATCCATCTTTCATCAACTTTGACCGGCTTCTTTGTCTCAACTGAAGAAAGGCACTGCCTCAGCATGATGCTTCCACTACTAACTTTAGAAGTATTGATAGTATTTCAGGGTGATGTGCAGCATTAGTTTTGTACCCCAAATAGTGTTTTGCATGTGAACAAAAAAGGTCAGAATTTCTTCAACATGTGTCCTGTGTTTCTTGGTCTTCCTGATATTTGACCTTTTATTCACTGATGTCTTTTAGCAAACCTCTAAGCTTCACAGAACACCTACATTTAAACTAAGATTAATGAACAAGTGATTATTTGGTCACTCCAGAAGGCCATTGGCAAGTTGAAGTGTTTGCAGTGTTGAGCACATTTCCACTAATGCACTTATAGCAGAGATAATTTTTTGTTTGGCTTCTTTGGTAACTTTGAAAACATTTAATGTCCTCACATTCTCTTTTTTCCACACACAGTGAAGAACAAAATCTAAATGTAAGTACAATATGTAAGGGCATTATAGAACAAGTAAAAAGGTATTCGAGGGTTGTAGTCTTGCTGATATAATTTGAACTGAAGTTAGCACTGTAGCATTAGCTTCCATGAAATGTCATGTCGGTGTTGCGCTTTAGTGCTAGCAGAGCTAATATTTATGTGCTTCAGGGGTGACTGAATAGAAAATGCATGTTGCTCTTCTCAGAATGTACACATGCTAAAATCTTTTACTTTAACTATGTAATTTTGCACCATTTTATATTCGGCTACATTGGAAATTTTGATGACAAATGTGAAAAAGTAATTAGGGGTAGCATAATATGTTGTTCCTCAGGAAGTTATTCTGATGTTTATGAGATGTCTTAAAGTTTTTGCAGATGTGGGACAACGCTGTGCTTACTTACTCGGATGACATAGGATATAACTCCCTTTTCATACACGTATATACGCAGCACATTAATAAATCGGCAACCACGGTTGCAGAAGCTCTCGAGCATTTCAGACAAAAGACAGAAAAGCAGCTATTTATTATCAGAACGCATCTCGGAGCACCCAGTGTGCCTGTGTGGTGCCTTTGGGAATTAACATTAACATCAGCCTGCTCTGCTATTCATTTACACCTCTTACGGGTCTGCGAGTCTTGATTTACAGCGCAAACTCTGCCAGGCCTCCAGAGAGATTGCAGGGTGGGGGTTTGTGTCTGCAAAAGCTCCCAGACCCAATTCCTGAGCGATTAAACACATATGAACAGTAAATTATACCTCAGTCTAACATGCTCTATAAGCAGAGTACAAACATTTATACTGTCTTGAACAAGTATTCAAACTCAAACTCTCTGTCATGTTCAAACCACAAACCTCAATATATTTATTATTAAAGTTTCATGTGGTGCTTTACTCTGAAACCCTTAAATAAAATCCATGGCACGCAATTACGTTCAAAAGTCAATAATTAGTCTGCCGATGCATAATTTAAGAATATCCTAATCTTTGAAAAATCTCAGAGCATAATCTAAGAGAGCTGGGGCTTAGGTGGGAGAATCAAAACTTTTTTTTATTAATTATCTCCACAATCCTGCCCTTCATAGAAGAGTGGCAAGAAGAAAGGTCTTGTTGAAGGAAAAAATGTTAAGAAGTACCATCAGCAGTTTGACACAAACCATGTATGAGACACAGCAAACACATGGAAGAGGGTGATCTGATCAGATGAGACTAGGACTGAACTTTTTGACCCTTACACTGAACATCACCATGAAAACACCATTGCCACTGCGAAACATGGTGGTGTCAGCATCATGCTATGGGCATTGCTTGGCTTGCAAAAGCACCTCACACTTTTTAGATTTGGATTAAGACAGATGGTATTTTCTTTTCATTTATGAGCTTTACTTTGTGACAGTCCAAGCCAACGTTACAACGTTTAAGGGTTGCAACGTCGCAAAACTTCAGCAAGCTTTAGGGGTCTAAACTTTTCCATCACACTATACTGAATCCAACCTGCCTTGAAACATATGCTTTCCTTTTGTTTATTTTGTCTGTTGCCACCATAGCTTTCATCCTCTTCCTGTCAGTCCAGTTCCTCTGCATCACTCTAATCAAGGAGGACACAAAGACAAAACAGGAAAAAAGCTCCTCGCTGTAAATGTAGCGCTCTCCACCCTTTTCTCTGTTCAAACCTTTTACATCCTCTTTCCTCTATGAGCCAGGTCCTTCTGTTCTTTTTTTCTTTACATGTGGTGGGTAAACCATGTTGTCAGTTCCTGTTTGGATGCCAAAGTGTGTTTTCTTTTAGCGATGAACTGGCCTACACATAACATGGGAACAAAGAGCCCAGGGAGATAATAAATATCTCCTTTTGTCCGTCACCAGCGCATGAAACAGAAAGCATTTTTCATAATTAGGCTGTAGGTGGAAAACTTTAGCGAATAATGAAGTCCTCCATTTTAATATTGATATTTTGGCACCTGTATCTCATGAGAGAGATTGCATGTGACACGGGAGAGTGAAGACAAACATGTTTCATTACCGTAGCCACAGCACGATTGTATAACAAAGAGCTGCTGCTGTCTGATTTTGGTGTGTGTGTGTGTGTTGAGGGAGATGGGATCTGGTTTCAGTAAGTTGGAGTACTTGGGCTTTAACCCCTGCGGATTCTCTGAGAAAACACGGCTGCCAAAGCATTGCATCACACACCCGAGTGAACCACAGCCCCACAATCCTCTCTCCTGCGAGAACCAATGCGTGTGTGTGCGGGTGTGTGCAAGAGAGCCGTGCAACAATAGTCTACCCACACACACATCTCTGCCCAGCTAACTTCAGTCACGTAAGAAGTCCATATGAGTTAGGCTCTCAAAGAGCATCCTGTTAGTCACAGTATGCTGACAGCTACAAAGAATGAAGGATAATCATGAATGCTTCAATATGGCCAGTTTGTGTGACAGATTGTGGGCTTATGTGTGTGTATACGTGAAGGAGTTTGGTGTGTGTGTGTGTGTGTGTGTGTGTGTGTGTGTGTGTGTGTTTGTATTTGGCTGCTTTGTTCTGCTTTGCTTATTCTCCTGGGCTGACCAGGTTTTATCTACAGGAAGTTCGGGCCGACTGGCTCTCATGTGAGCCGTGCTTCCCATGACCGCCTACCGTGGCTGCGCCGATATAAGCTGCAGAAAACAGACTTCAGGGATGAGACTGAAAGCGCTTCCACTACAGTTAGGCAAACAAATAAATATGATCACCCGTCTGAGCCGCAAAGAAGCGTTTGAGGAAGGGCACCCTTTCAGAGATGATGACACAACCGCAATCAGATCTGTGTTAGATAAACGACCCTTAATTCTTTTCTTCTTTTTTTTTTTACCAGAGTGGTTTTGCTCTTGTTATGGTTGAACGTCAAAAAAAACCTCTCATGGGAGCTTATTCTAGCTTCTGTGGTTTCTTTCACATGAAGGCTTTTACACTTTCAGCTCCCAATCCGCACAGATTAAACACGCACATGTTGCTGTTTTAAAGGGAGGGAGGTGTTCCCATGCCCTCCTGATGGATCACAGATCCTCTCCGCTGTGTCCCGTGTGGGCTGTGGCTGAGTGAGTGTTGGTGTTGTTGCAGAATGAACTGCTTTATTAGGAATCGGTCCAAACAGGCCCTCAGCAGCTGACACTGGACATAAAGGACCATGTGAGTGACCTCATGATTCAGCGAAACGAAAGTGAGGCTGGAGACCACAGAGAAATGGAGGAAGAGGAGAGGGCTTAATGTTGAATGCAAGGATTCTACCTTGTGGATCTCAGGAGCAGGACACACATTCCTGTCTGGCTGGCAGTCGTCCCTCGGCCTGCAGCTGCTTTCACACCATCCACAGAGGTGTCCCTGATCCTCACGGCCCCAGCACTGGGAGCAGTCTGAACTGCCCGCTCCACAGTTGTACACCTCCACTAGAGGGAGACGGGAGGAAGGAGGGGAGAGATAGAGACAGGAAGACATTATCAGACAATCGTATGAAGATTATTTTTGGTGTCTTTGTCTAGATCAGGGGTGTCAAACTCATTTTCGTCTTGAGTCGTATGAAGTTCATGAATGTCCTAATCAGTTTGATATGGCCCATGGTTGTGGCAGAAATAGATTGATAAAATATTTAAAAAATATTAATAACCAGATGACTCTCCACTCAGTGAATGCATTTTCTCACATTGATGTAATTTGGCAGTGTACATATAAAAACTGATTTGATTTGATAAAATATTTAAGTACACAAATGTTTTAAGGTGCTTTTCATGGGGCATTCTAGAGATAAAAGGGCCCCATAAAAAAGTTACGGCATGCCAGATTTGGCCCCCAGGCCTCGAGTTTGTCACATGTGGTCAGCATCAGTAACAATAATAAAAAAATATTTTTTTCTGGAAAATAATAAAACAAAATCTGAAAAGTGTGGACAACCAGCCAGAGCTACTATATTCCCACCAAATCTCACTTGTGTGTCAGAATGGCTCACTCAAAGTCCTGACCGAAATCTAACTAAAAATTAAAGGTGAGACCAGAAAATTGATAGTAACAGACTCTCTTTGAAAAGCATTATCATTCTCAAACGCATCTACTGGGAAAAAATGTCTACAAAGTACTTTCTCGGCGACAATAACGCACGGATGGGTGCAAGTGGCTCCGTAAGCTAATTTGTGGAAATTGCAAACATTAGAACAGTAGTCTAAACTATTTTTAGGCTCATCATGTTCTACAAAAGGCAGCGCCCAGTGTAATTAAATGTTGCTGCTGATGCTTTGTCTCATTTCATGCATGACCTATATTTGCAATATATTTAGCATGCAATCAATCTGAGTCTTTTTAGGCTGCTGCATTGGTACTTTTACTGAAATAAATAATTGGAGTACTTCCACCCCCCCACCACTCCCCGCCTGAAAAAGCATCTGTTTGCTGTGTTGGCCCTTGAATGGTCAGCTGAAGGTACACTGTTAGAAACATTTTCCTCCGCAGCTTACTTGAACCATATGGGCTGCATGCTCTAAATAAGCAGAATAAACATTTGGAGGGTGATATATTCATGGTTATAAAAATAAACCAGGAAAAAAAAAAAAAAAAAAAACCCGGAGAGGATGAGAACAAAGCCAGGGAAAACAGATGATTATGTTCGTGTTCCAAAGTGCCTCCCAGCGAGACGTCCCATTTGTATTACCGCATGCACATCTGCACGACTGTGTGCATATTAGGCCGCACGCATCTGTATGTATGTGATAAAGTGTGTGTCATTTTAAAATGTGATGACTTTGCACGCTGCGACGAGGTGCCTGTTAAGCAGAATGTCTGGCAGCGGGCCAGGGCTGTTGCTCGCATGGACTGCGAACGTCACATCTGGGACTGGGACAAGCAAACAACTGGCTTGGAGCGGCTCCGCGAGACAATATGCCAAGTTCAACAGCGCAAGCCACCCCTCATCATCTCGCTGTTGTCATGGAGCTCAAACTGTATTTGTGACAATAGGTTTGGACATTGCTTCTAAGAGGCAATGATAACACCTTCAATTGCAGCTCCCCCATGTTCTGTAATTATTATGTGTAATTAGGCGTTAGCAGAATATAACATTATGGTAAATTACTGGTTGTTGGAAAATTATGTGTTGGAATACACAAACTGCTATGATTACAAGTGAAAGGCAGTCTGACACGCTCTATTCCTGTAAGTATTTCTTTATTTTTCAGCAGGGTCAATCAAATCCACCCGACTCGTCAAGAATCCATTCTCTGAGCATCGGTGTCATGTTTTTTTGTGTGTGTGTTTTTTCCCTTTAAAGTACGGAAGAGGAGAAGGATCTCAGCATAGCATCGGGCTGTGTTTTTCATTCTTTTTGCATGTCTGTCTAATCACAGGTTTTACGTCTTACCTTTCATGGGCTGAGGGCTGTCAAGGAATATATCCTCCCTCTGACTGCTGAAGTATCCTGCTCTCCTGAGGCTGAGGTGGTAAATCTGACTCCTCTGATTGGTGAACAACTAAATGAGCAAAGAGGAAGGTAATATCAGCCAAACATTGGGTGCTTGGACTCTGTGTTATATCCATTGTGCTTCTTCTTACTGTTGCCCCACATACAGCGGGAGCCACATTTATTGGCACCACTAAATCCACCTAAAAGCCTTTTTAGATGGATCCATGTAAAAGCCCTTTTAGATGGATTTAGTGCACCGGGACTGGAGCATTGCAGTGCATAATGTCACACTGAATATTTTTAATAAATCAAATCTTTAATTTGGCTATAATTTATTCAATTGGGTGGGGTAAATCCATGTTAGAAAATAATGATTTCTTTAATGAAACAACTGATTTAAAGTTAACAGAATTTATGTAAATTAAGTTTTCACGTTATTTATACCTTTTCAGGCTGATCCGAGTTTCTACGCTGCAAAAGGTCTCTTATTCATCTTGGAATCACAAAACAATCTACTAATTTTACTGTTGCACCAAGAGTAAGGTCTTGGGGTCAAGTCTCAGTAAGAGCTATTAGATGCTATCTATGAGCCAATCAATATTTGAGAGTCATGCTGTAAAAACACAGTTTCTGTTGCAGTGTAACAAACATAAACATGGATTTTTAATATATACTGCAAGAATTGTGAGTTTTGATTAGAACAGACTAATATTCACTTTCAGCAACAGATATTTTAGGTATGATTAGTGTGAAACAGTGGATGAATATTTGAAAAAAAAAAAAAAACTCTTCATGTCCATTTTTTAGTACGGTAGAGTACTAATAATGCTGTGGGCCCATTTTTCTTCCAAAGGCTCTGGGAACCTTGTTAGAGTTCATAACATCATGAACTCTTTGACCAAGTCTCCATAATAACCATTAAATGCAATCTGTAGACCAACTGGTTATTTGAGAGGCATGCAAGGGAAAGATTTTCTGTCATATCATCTCAAAACCTGTGGAAATAGCTAAAGTCAACTGAGATCTGAACTGGAGTTTAGTAAAACAAAATATCTGGAAAAGCCACAAATACTAACTGTGAATTATGGTGGAGAATATGTGATGCTTATCCAAAGACCCTGAGATTCCTATAGGCAGTAGTGGGAACAGTAGTAATGAGCTAACAGTGGAGCTGACTTTTTGTTTAGCGCTTTATTGTTTTAGCACTGCCCTCTAATGAACGCCATGCTGGTTAGGGTTAGTGCAATTCATTTTTATTTAGCGTTGCCCACCACTACCTACTAGAATGCCTTACCAGTTAACGTTTTCAAAAACCAGAAGATTTTAAATAAAAATCTGATGCCCTGTGCTGGAAAATTGAACATGATCTTGTTCCTAACAATTCGTTAAAATTAGGGTTTTTTTAACTTGATAAGTGTGCACAAATTTCAGGTTGGATTTTTTTATCTTTATTTTTTAAAGATCTTTTAGTGTAATATGCTTCTGCAATTACTCATCGTTTCCAGGCTTGACAATAAATGTGGTCAGCGCTGTGATAATGGGTCTCTTGTTAACTCATAAACAAAGGAAAGTTATTATTAAAAACAGCTGACAAGCTTTAAACATAACAAGAGTGAGCTCAGTAAAGCAGTGGATGAAACAAATTGCCTCACTGGTTATTTCTGGAAGGTTATTGTCCGAACTTACCGTCACCCCACTGCACTTGACAGTTGAGTTGTCCAGCCATATGGCCTCATAGCGCCATCCTATTCCAAAGTCACACTCAAGCTTCTCCGTCTGTTGAGCAAGACACTTACTTTAAACAATATGGAGTATTTTTTAAAACAACGGCCAAGAAAAATGTGATACTATGTGGCTCTCCAGATTTGAAAAATAAAAAAATAAAAATTAAAGGATTAAACAAATGCACAGAATCTTAATTTCTGGCAACAATCATCAACCCTGAGAAGGCACCAGGAAAATGAAAATAAAATTAATCCCATATTAACTGAGCTTGCCAGAAAAAGACTTTCAGATTTCATATTCATAAACATCTGGACTCCCACACCTCGGCAGCTCATCTGGGAGTCAGAATAATGAGTGTGAATTTATTTCTCCACAAAATAAGTGCCCTGAGTTCTCCGGAGCGGGGATATCTGAGACCATGGAGAAGCAGAGACAGGTAAGAGCAGCAGACGATAAGTGCTTAAAGTGGAAGAAGTCATTTGTCTGTGAATCCGGCCGGCTTAAATGGGTCTACTTTGATCGGCCTCTCCAGGACGCTGCTATTTCACGGCGCTTTCTGACACCGGAGACGGCTAATATTTATGGCAGCTGCACGGTTCTCCGTTTTCTGTGCTACTGTGAAAATTTCTCTGAGAGTCAGTCAGAGATGGGATGTAAAAGATGAGAAACTCGTTCTGAATTTATTTTTTTCTCTGTGGTGAAAGCGTGGGAATTCAAAAGAAAGATCCCGGGAGGATCCGAGCACCGGATAAATTTGATTGGCAGCACATTTCCTGCTCTGCTGACTTGTCCGAGATGAAGACATTGATCAAACAATGTCAGTCTGTATAAACTTTCATAATGAAGAGTAGCACAAACAGCTATCCTGAAGAAGTCTGTGTGTGACTCAATGTCTGTCACCATAGCAACACGCCAGAAAGACAACGTGAGAGGCCAGCCGGGGTTAAGAGTGTGACCGGCCACGCCTGGCAACCAGTCAGCACTGGCATTTTGAGCAGATCTCGGAGTTGTGTCCTCATCCTCGTTGGTGCAGTGTCAGCTTCTGAAGCCCCTCGGTGCAGATTAACTGCATGAATGGGAGTTTTAACCAGTGATCTGAGAGGACTGCCTGAATGAAAATGAACAAGAGCAAAATTAAGCTCCTGCTCCGAGTGTTGCTGCCTCGGGCTGAATGCACACGCCGTACAGTGTGCTGACAAAGACACTACTCATCATGGTTGGATACCGGAGGGTGAGCATGCCCAAACAGCCGAGGAACTCTTCATCCCAAAACTCTTTTCATTCTCGAAAGTCAGATCATGGATTTCCCGCAAATAGTGTGACAATATCCTGTGCAATTCCAGTGAAAAGACAAATTTGTTGGAGGGAATGATGTCAAAAACAAAAAGTCCCGGTTGCTAAGTGTGCAAACACTGACACTTTATTAAGGGGATATCAGCATTCAGTCTCATGTGGTAGAATTCTGTCAGCATCTTAACTTGAAAATATTTGATCAGGCAATGTGGACACCTGATAATACTGATTATAATTTGCTCACATTTTCCTTGCTGTTTCTTTCTTCACAATGTGACTTTTAGCATTTTAGACAGTAAAAAAAAAATAATAATAATAAACAGCCACTGTGGGCATCAAGGGCAGGAACAGTCCATCCAATAGGCTAAATGTTATTGACAAATGTTGCTTGCATGACACATGAAATACAATATTCTTTTAAATATTGCATCCAAGAAGTCCTTTGTGATTGTGATATTGCACAAGTAGGTACATCTGCAGGTCGATATAATCTGGAAGATTCATTTGGATGAAAATGCATCTGTCTTTTAAAGTTGTGATTTATTTCAGACATATGGAGAATCCACAACATTGCTATCACATGTTAAACACAACCTGCACCTACCAGAAATTGCTGTAGCTGTAGTCAACATTGCTAGTTGCAGCTTCTCTATTCACAAATATTGGATAAAGCTTGTTATTATTTTTTTAGAATTATTTGTTACTGCCTTTACTGTGCCATGACATATATAAACTGCAGTGTTTCTTTTTTGTACCCTTCTCCTGACTGATATCTTTGTACGATGACATAATATTGGAAACTAATAGATGCAAAAGAGCCATGATAGAAAAATCCTTCAAGGAAAATGAACATTGATGAGCATGTGAACTCAAGAAACTAAATAAAAACAATTTAGTTTGGGATTGTGTACATTTTGTGCAACCACACCATTAGTTTTTAAAATACTTTTCCCTTTGATTGATTTGCTTTTTGAACGTTACAGGATACAATCAAATTTCATGCTGAAAAAGTCAATTTTTTATATTTTTTATGTCATAGCAAGCAGACCTTGTAATGGTTGAGAGTCAATGTATTCTCAACAAGTAGAACACCCAGACTGGTTTTAGTCATCCATTGACCCCAATCCCAGAGCGAAAACATTCATCTGTTTTAGCCCAGCTTGAAGCAAAGACACCATATGCTTCTTTTTTCTTCCAATCACATTCACCACATGCGGTTTCTGGAGACAGCCCAGCTCAGAGGCTGGAGGACATCTAACGTACCCCTTGGATGTTGCTCAGGTTCACAATGAAGTCTTGGGCCATTCCTGAAGGTGATGGAGGAACCTCAGAGGGAATCAGGCTGGGACAGGAAGCAGCGCTCTGCAGTGGGAGATGGGGGATTTCAGAGGGGGAAGGAAGTGACATACAAGAGTTAAAGAAAACAATGGCTTCCTTTGCCCCCTCTTCCATACATCCACCACCCAAAAATACCTGTCCTGTTTATCTGGACAAGCAGGAAATGAGAGGGTGAAGTCTCTCTTTGAGGGAAACAACAATGGCTTCAAATAGGGAGATGATGAAGGATTAGAAAAACAGAGCCACCGGACGCTGTGAAGCCCCGAGCAGAGCAGGAAACGGCAGCCTACTTCCCGATGACCTCATGACCCATATTATAAAAATCTTATTTCACGTTTAAACAGAAACTATAATTTAAATACATAAAGCAGCTTAAAAAAAGTACCAGTCTTTCATGCTAATCTAATGGAGATTTACTCCATTTACTTTACAGATGCAATCGTGCTTCTATTACTCCGACTGTGTAAAACTCACAAGATATAAAACTAATCATTAAACACTCATAGCAATAAAAGGCTTAAGGAAAACACCAGTAGACCTGTAGCTGACCAGAGGAGAGAGAGCCGTGTCCTCCCCCTCCCATGTGACCCGATAATAAAAGAGTGTGAGCGGAGAGGGAAAATCTGCGGGTCCACACAGGCCATGGGATTTGGCTCAGCAGTAAAACTCTAAAGTCGACACAAATAGTTTGATAGCCGACTTAATCTTGATGTTGTCAGGAAAGCGTCCAAAGAAGGCTGGTAATAGTTTCCAATGAGGCTGGGCTTGTTATGGATAACTTTCCCTTTTTTGCTCTCGTATCTTGTTACTCTGTTTGATATGCTTTTTTTTTTTTGATGTTGTTGTTTTAGAGCACTTCTTGCACTTACATGGCTTATATTACTAAATATATATCTATAAAATTTATGTGTATGGGCTCCTACTCAAAAACATATAAAAGCAGGTCCGTACAGACGTTAAGGCGCATCGAATATACTCTTTCACTCATTCGCAAATATCTGGCAGAGTGAAACGTTAGAACAGGTCATAGGAGCTTTAAAATACCACATTATCCTGTTATGAGTCTGTAAAAGCAGAACCTCTTGAGATTTTATAGCTGGTTTCAACTTTTCTGCACACTGTAGTTGAGACACTGACACTGTAACCTCACGATGATTCACCACATGGCTGCTCTTGCCTAACCAGTCTGGACTCACATTATTAAAAGAAAACTTTTCTTTTTTACTGCCGAGTCTGGATTGTGTCGGAGGTTTGGGCTTGTAGGATACTGATATCATGATCTCCTCCTAGGATCTGTCTGGTTGATAGATTGGAGGGAGAATTACTCACTTCAAGCAGATTTGGCTTCGATTCATCTTTGCTTGAGAGGCACTGGTGGTGCTCTTGGTCCCAGTAGCACTTCCACCTTGTGCTCAGGCAGCTCATGCACCTGAAAACAAAGATAGACACAGAACTATTCAAATCATATTACTATACCTTAAACTACACAGCCTGACCAGGAGGGTACCGTATTTTCCGGACTATAGAGCGCACCTCACTATAAGCCGCACCCACAAAGTTTTTTTTTTGTTTGTTTTTTTTAACAGGCTATATATACGCCGAACCATGGATTCGTTCACGCCGAGCTTACGCGCATCTGTACTGCCAGATCGATAGCCTTCAACTTAAAAGCGGCATCATATGAACTTCTTCATGTTGTTTCCATGATGAGGAGGTATGAGTTTGAAAACATTTCTCCGTCGTGACTGCTGCTAGCATGTGCTTGTTCTATATGAAAATTAGCACTTTCTTCTTTGATTTCTAATTTTGACTTCCAATGATTCACTTCCTGCTAAAGCGCCCCCTGGCAGTTGAAGAAAAATCCACAGAAAAGCCGCACCGGGCTTTGAGTCGCATTGTTCAAAGCATGGGAAGAAAAGCAGCGGCTTAAAGTCTGAAAAATACGGTAAATATTTTCCTCTGACCCACATGCATTCTGCAGCACAATCGTGAACTGGTTCAATGTGTCAAATTAGGTGGCGATACTCTATTTCAGGTTATTTACTGAACAGTGCTCCATCAGATTATTGTAATAATGTTTTACTTTACCCTGCTTCAAACTCTACCCCTATTTCATGGATGTTTATTTAGGGTTTAAGAGAAAAGGGAGTTACTTACAAAGACACAGTGCATTACTCATATACTCATTTCCAAAAATGAATAAAATTTCCTTTTACTTTTTAATTATGCATGGCTTTTTTTGTACATAATGCCAATATGATGTATTACAACATGCATTGTGTATTTTCTGACATACTGTGACAGAAATCAAAAACAGAGGGAAAACATTCCATCTGGTTTGTTTTCACCCCCATATCATGTCCCTGTGATCGTCCCCATGTAAAAGTTGAGCATGAAGCCCGCTCTGACTCATTTTGGAGTGTAAAACAAATGGGGAGGCTGAACTGATTACAGGCATCAAAGTGAAGCTTTAATAAAAGGAAGTAATGATTAGTCACAGTGGCAGACACGCTCATTCCACGGTCGCAGCTCAGCCGGCGGAGAGGTCAGGGTGGGCCAACTCGGCTGAGATCAGACTCTCTCGCTGCTAAATGATGATGCATGAGTACGCATGCCGTCTCATGTGTTTAAATTTCTGTGAAATCAGGTTCGGGTTTTACGGTGCTGACATGCAGCGGCTTTACCGAGAACATTTGCTAGATCACGCTCGCGGGCTCAGCTGATGTGTGCACAGTGAGCACGAAGGCTGGAAAAGCAGTTGAGATGATAAAAAAAAAAAAAGAAGGTTTTTTCATGTATTGGCATTTTTCATGACAAAGCGTTGTATTTTTTTTTTTTTTTAGGGAAATTTCTTGTTTTGAAGGATCGCTTCAAAAATCAGCCCTGAAGGAGTCACAGATTCGGCTTTAACTAAGGAACTCGCAAATAACTGCAAAGATGGATGGAGGAATTGACAGACAGGTGGACAGATGGATGGACAGATGATAAATGGATGGACGTACGGATGGATGGATGTTTTAGATAAAAGAATATTCAAATTCTGGAAATGTGAAATTGTTTCCATCCTCCAGGCCTGGAAAACATCTAAATCAACTCCTTTCTTTGTCATTCTGAGTTGTAACAAACAGATCGTTTGTAGACAAGGGCCAACAATGTGGCTTCCAGATAAACCACCTAAATATACCAGCACTCTGTAGACGTGTGTGTGTGTGGAGTCTGCATCTTTGAGTAGCCTCTGGGTAGAGACAGATGTCCCACACTAGGAAAGATGGTGCCTCCAGTGATAGCAACACTCTGAGGGGGTCTCTAGATTAGACGGCGGAGGGTGTAAGAGGATGTGTAACTGTCTGCGTGTGTGTGTTCTGATTAAAAGCAGACGGACTCCTCCAGGCTGTTATCAGCTGCACTTTTCCCTGACTCCCTTTTTGTCCTACTAAAACACCTAAAAACCTCACCACCCACCCACATTTACATGCAGACTGTTTGCATACACACCACACTCTCTCTGTGCTCGACTGAAAGCTGACAGCAAACACCCTGTGAAACTGCTCACCCCTGGTCGTAATGACCACTCGCGTACACACTCGTGCTAAATACACACACTCTCAGGGTCCCTCCGTGGACACAGCGGTTAAACACACATCCTCAATCACACCTCTGTCAGAGAGAAATACATCCAGAAGAAAGCCTCACTCTCAGGGAGGGGAGTGCAAGTTAACTAACAGACACAAGAGGAAAAAAGAAAGAGAACTGAGATGTGAAAAAAAAAAGTGAAATGAAAAGAAAGTAAAGGATGGAACATAAATAGAGTAAGTTTGGGGCAGAGAGAGAAGTGAATGTTTAGTGTTTGTCCTTCTAGGCTGCAGAGCGACGCTGGAATGCCGCGGTCTGCTTGTCATTAACACTTTACCCAGTGATCACTTTAACCGTGTTCAGGGAGAGTTGTATAAACAGCGCTCACTCTCTCAGACAAACACACGCATGCAAACTGGTTTGGCACCATTATATCATAAATGAACTTTACCGTGTACAAATACTATCTGTTTTCTTCGTTTTTAACACATTTCTCCTGATTCGTTACATTTGGAACAGGAACAGCTAGCGGGCTCGTTCAGCCAAATATATTGTATGAAACCTTTCATTATTATTTCACTTCTGTTAATTTTCTGGACTCAACAAAGGAGGAAAAAAAAATTCAACACAATGAAAAATATTGGACAACATTCAGTCAGCGAAGGCCAAAATATTCTGAATTTCTGGCAACAGACATGAGATCCAAACTTTCCAAATAAATAACCTGCGACCATGTTAGGAAATAGATAAATTAAAACTGCGACTGTGTTGATTTTCAAGTGCTTGCACGTTGTCTGTTGTTCTGAAAAAAACGGCTTGGAGTGAAATTTTCTCAGTCTTCTCACTATTTTCTTATAAAATCTACATTAGTCCTACAGATACAATACATTTGTGAATTTTTCACAATTACTTCTTTGTACTGGTGCAACTCAGTAAATGAATGAAATACTTAATTAATTTCAATAATTTAGTTAAAAACCAGATTTAGCTGAAGCAAGTTTCCAATTGTAATCCATAAGCAGCAGAGTTAATAATAGTGTAAACTCAAAAAACACACATATACCCTACCACTGCACAGTCATAAAAATACAATGCAAACAGTACCAAATTACAAACCTCTGTTTTATAATCACTAATGTCAAGCTTACAGTTCTTTTTTTTATTACTTTTTATTTCATTTTAAGCATATGTATGCATATTATATGGATTAATTACAGAGAGCTATTTGTTAAATAATCGATATTTGTGAGATAGTTTAGGTCTATAAAGTTTTATTATTGCAACTTATAGCGACTGTAAAACTCAACTTCATCACATAAGATGAATATAAAGATTATTTTATAATGTTATGTGATGATTATGTTATGTAAAAATGGCTAAAAAGATAAGAAGGGACGTTACAGAGAGAGAGAGAGAGAGATCACATAGAGCTCTGTCCATGACTATCAATAGAAAGTCAAGTGAAAGGAAAAACTGCAGCAGAAAAAGGTGCAAAGGCTTCATGAAGATGGGGGTTTTATTTCTAGAAGGACTTTGTATGTACTTGGATGACCTACTACAGGACGTTCAGGCAAAAGTACCACTGAGTAAGAACTGATTGTATTTACTCTGCAATACGAGAATATTTTGGTAGACAAATAATTTCTGAATAAAAAGCATTTCTCATTATTTGGATTTGGATTGCATGGGATGCACAGTGGTGCAGTTGGTAGCACTGTTGCATTGCAGCAAGAAAGTAATGGCTTTTAGTCCCGGCTGGGGTCTTTCATGGAGTTTATATGTGCATGCATGGATTCTCTCCAGGTACTGCAGCTTCCTTTCACCGTCCAAAATCACAACCATTAGGCTGACTGGTCTATATATTGTCTTTTCGTGTGAGTGATTGTTTGTACTGTGTTGCTATGAGATGCGCTGGCGACAGGTGCAAGATGCACCCTGCCTCTTGCCCAATGGCTGCTGGAGAAAAGCACCAGCCTCCCCTGTAAAGATCTAGACAATGGATGGATTCTGATTTTTATAAAAATCTGAATTTTAGGTTTTCATTAGATACAGTCCACAATAATCAAAACTCACAGAAATAAACACTGGAAACGTATCACTCTACTTGCAAAACAATATATAACACACAACTTTCACTGTTATTAGTTTAATCACTACAATGACTTTCTTTTCTGTGGCATTCTGACTTATTCAAACGAATCAAAGCAACATTTGTGTTTAAAGATCACAAGTAATGACATACGTGCATTCTGAAATTAATTTTGTTCATACCAGAGGAGCTTGTACTCAGCTAGCAAACAATCATGTTGTCGATTAACTTTATTACTGAAGCAAAATTAGCTTTATAAAAGCGCATAATTTCATTCGAAGTGTGCGGAATAAAAAGTCTAATGCCTTTGGTTCTAAAAGCATTAATGCCCGACGTTACTTAAATGAAACATAATAGCCTCAGTTAGCATAAAACAGAGGAGGATCTCTGCTTTAAAACCAAAGAAAATGCTTTCTTCAGAAGAGGAGGTTTTCCTTTCTCATCCTTCAAGACTTTGATTTATCTATTAGCAGAGTGATGGCGCTTCTCATAAAAGAAGAGCTCTTTTGTGTGGTTTCATTGGATCTAAGTGTATAACAAAACCCACTGTTGAAAAAAAATAAACAGCATGAAGTGAATGAGATCAGATAGAGCCCAGCAGTTCTGCACCTCTCTGCGTAATGCTCTTCCTGTGCGAACGGCACTTTGCTCATTATCACCTCCGACAAACCGCCGTCTAATTTCACACTCCTGGACCCCGCCACATATTGGGTGCAGTCTCACACACGTACACCTGCAGCCGCTGTGTTCACACCTCGAAACTACTTTCAAAAAGTGAACAAAGGGAGGGGGACACCAAAATGCTTTTTTTTGTCGGTGGGGCGGGGCATCTCTGTGAATCTGTCAAACACACTCAATGCACATGGATGAGGCTCTCGGGATCAGATAGAGAAGATCCTGCAACACAGTCCAGCATGCAGGAGGATGCCAGCTGGAATGCCTCCACATTTTGAGGAAAAACCCCGCCGCTATGACAAGGACATCCAAGTCAAAGTCTTTAACAAAAACAAACACGGGTGTGATCAACCAAACATACATATGTGAGTTCCTTTGGCTTAACATTTACAGAATATTAATCCCGCATTTGATCCGGCACTGAGGAAACCTTGAGCAAACCAAACACACACAATAAGCCCTGGGAGAGGACATGTTGGCTGTGTTTACCCAGCATGGCCTAAATAAAAAGCATTTGATGAGGAGACGAGGGACGTGGAAGAAGAAGAACAAACACAGAATTGAGGCTTTGCTTTGTCTTTATTGTCCAGCTGTGTGTGCAGATCTGAAACGGCACTGAGGGAAAGGCTCGATATTTCGGTTCAGGTTTTCTGTTTGGAGACTGCTACAAGAGCAGTTTGTTGGTGTTTAGTCTCCGTTAGGAGGGATTGTTTTGGGGGATTTAGTATAAGCCTTGTCGTTAAAACGTGGGAAAGTGGAGAGGATATAATCAGATTAAGTAATTCAATAAAAACTGCAGGCATAGAGAATAAATAGTCTATTGGAAATGAATGTTCTACCCAATAAATGGCACAAAGTATTTACTAATAAAGTGACAGTTAGATTTAAGAAGTTGTCTTGCGATGTGGTTTACATATTTATTCGGATTTCTGTCCTTTCAGAAAACACAGATCAGAGCCACAGCTTTGTGCAAAACTTTTAAATCAAGGAAGGACCTTCTTAAGGTAGTGCTGGGACTGTTCTTCAAACTTTCATAAGTTTTCAATTCTTATGTTTTGTTTTTTTTTTTTTACTCATTTTGGCAGATGCTAAAGTATAAAACAATTGTAGAAGAATTGTTACAAGAGACTTTAGGCTAAGGTAGAAATCCAGCTTCAACCAGAACAATGACCCTAAACACACAACCAGAGCTGAAATGAAATGATTTAGATTAAAAAACTTCCTTTTTTTTTTTATTTTTATTTTATTTTAATTAACCTTTATTTAACCAGGTGAGTTATTAAGAACAATTTTTTATTTACAATAATGACCTGGCAGGGAAGGATGGTCCAGTTAAAGTCCAGAGCGATGTCTCATCCTTAAATTCTCAAATATTACAAGTTTTCTGTTCTTTAGGAACTACCTTATCTTAAACTATTTTAGTATTTACTACTTTTCAAAGATTAAACTATATATCGGGAAAAAATTATGTATTTCTAACAAGATGCTGGTAACTAAGTGCCAAGAGATTCAATTAAAAGTTTTATATGAATATGTCAGGTGAATTAACAAGAAAAGCAAACCGAACTCATTCCTCTAAAAAAAAAAAAAACAAAACTAGGGGAAATAAGAGAAAAGCAGCCAGAGTTAAAAAAAAAAATACTTTAAAGCTGTCAGTGCGGTGACAGCAGAGAATCATCAATTTACATCTCAGACCCAAAATTCTTATTTGGATGAAATGCTAACTAGTAATTTAAGATGTTAAACTGAACATCAGGTAGTTGGAGCTTTTTTAAAAAGTGTCTCAAATGGAGAAGTGTGAAGCCCACCAGTGTCGTCGTTGACAGCATGCCATCGCTATGTGCTGTTCATGTGAAAACCTTAATTATACTTTTAATTAAAAACTAGAAGGGAGATCTTTTTATACTAGAATCTGAGGAAGAAAGTAGAAAGATGTCAAAAGAGAAGAAAAATTATCGACAGAAGAAAAAAAAAGGTGCATTAAGAAGAGCTGTGACACAGAATCATCAAATATTTGCCAAGAATCACAAACTCTCTGAGTGAAATGTTTGACTTACGACGTCTTTGGGTGTATTTGTCCGGTTCTCTCACAGTCGTAGATGATGAAGCTCCCAGAAACAACAGACGTGCCGTTCACCTTTATCGCCACCGAAACAGTGAGGTGATCTGCAGAAACAAAGGCCGCATGTGTCAAGCTCTGCAACATTTGGAGATGGTATCGCTCTCATGAAGCAAAATAGAAGGCACCAGACTCAGACCCTTTTCTGCATTATGAGAGATGAAAGCGGAAATTACATTTGTTCTATTCTAAAAAAAAAAAAAAAAAAAATGAATGTGCCTGACAAATGGATGGCTCACCTGTGCCAGGGGGTATTGGTTGGTAGTTTTCTGGTGGAAGGAGGGGGCAGGTCTGGATCTGGAGACCGTAGACCGTGGCAGCGGTGGAAACCCCGGGCTTGTACTCACACTCTACCTTCGAGCCAATCAGATCGGGAATGCTGCCGTTTATTAGGATGCCAACAGCCTGCAGCGAAAGAAAAAAAAACAAACAAACAAACAAAAAATAACAGATATAGGAGCAGAAACATAAATAGCTGCTCATGTTGATCAAAATTAATTAGATTTTTAATTTGCCGTGCCCGCAAATGTGTGTTCTGGTGGAGTTTATGCGCACACGCTCGACGAGAGAGGGCGGAGGATGTTGGCGCCACTTCGAGATTGCTCAGGAGATCAGGCAGAAAAAGAGAAAAACTACCATGTGATGGAGAAACAGATGGCAGAGTGCTAGAATCACATCTAAATCTGCAGAAAGTGATGAAGTATGACAGATGCATAATGAGAAACATAACACCTCGCTGACATGTCTGAATTTTAGTTAAATGAATTCAATGTGAGGGGGGAAAAAAAAGAGGTAGGCTGAGGATGAGGGTGTAAGTTTAGAGAGAGGATCTTGGACTGGAGGAAAACAAATCAGCGTCTCAGCAGGTAGGAGCTGAGGTGGTCAGCGGCTTGTGCTGACATGTCTCAAAAATCTGCCCCATTGTTTGCTGGAATCGTTCATTTCCCCCCGCTCGGGCCCTGACTTCCTGCCTCCTGCTTCCTGTTTGCGGAGACAACCTTGAGCTGGGCTTCCTGCCGTTGAATCAGCCGTTTGGTGAAGCAATTATGGCCCACTGAAGACCGACCACCCCCCCAACAAGCAAATATTCACAATTAATGAAGCAATTAATGACCTGTCGTCTCCGCCTTCCATCAAATTACGCTCCGTAATTAGAGGTCAAATATATTCCAAGTGGCAGAGATCAGTGATCTAATCACGGCATTGTTATCTCCCTGTAACACGATGCACTGATGAGAAGGGATTATTGAAAACAACAGTTTGCATGTCAGACCACTCAGGGAATCTTTGAACCCAGATATATTATCCTGCCAAGAATGATTAAATCAGACTGGCGCTGTTAAAGAAGCCCAGCAATGCCACCAAAGAACAAACACCCACTCGGATTAAGGAAATGGTAAAAATCTGCATTATTGAGGTGATTATTTATAACAAATGCATGACAATGATGGAAAGTCTAAAAACTTGCTCAGACCACAGAATTGCCAAGCAACAACCCAGGTCCCAAAAACAAGTCAAACCAAGACAAATTTATTTCTACTGCGCATTTCAGCAAGTTTTAGGTGCTTTACACCATAAACACATAACGCAGAACCAATTATGAAACGAGAAACAAATCATTAAATCATCAAATATATTATTCAAGTTTCCGTTCTTATTAATCAAATGCAACTCTAAACAGGTGGGGTTTTGGTGTAGGTTTAGTGTGTTTCAGGGTCAGTGTCTCTGGATCTTTGCGGTTTTCTGGAAATTTATTCCAAAATAGTGGGGCATAAAAACTGCGTGCTGCGTCTCCATGTTTGGTTCTGATTCTGGGGATGTAGAGTAGACCAGAAGAACCAGAAGACCTGAGTGGTCTAGAAGGTTGATACAATGACAACGGGGCTTTAATCTGCTTTGGTGCCATTTTATAAACTAACAAAAGTATGTTAAAGTTTATTCTTAGAGCCACAGGAAGCCAGTGGAAGCACTTTTAAAACTGCGCTGATGTTCCCTAGTTTTAGTGAGAACATGAGCAGCAGCGTTCTGGATCAGCTGCAGCTGAGTGACTTTTTAGGCAGACATGTGAAGACATTATTGTTTAGTAATCAATGCAACTAAAGATAAATGCATGGATGAGCTTCTCAAGATGACACTAGTTCTTTAATCCTAGAAATGATCTTCAACTAATAGAAGGCCAACTTTGCAATTGTTTGTATGCGTCTCTGAAGGTTCAGGTCTACAACTACACCCAGATTTTGAGCCTGATCACAAGTTTCTAGCTGTAGTAATTCTTTATGGTTCCTTTGTAGGTCCAAAGATAAAACACCAAATACGTCTAAGTTCAACGGAAGTTTGCACCAGTCTGGACAAAGATGTTTTGTGATAAGATGATATGATAAGACCTTGGTCATAATGACAAGAAGAATGTTTGGATGAGTCGAGATGCAGATTTGAAGAGTAAGAATGTTCTTACTCTTCACTGTCAGGCATGTTGGTGGCTGTGCCATCCTGAGGGTTTACATCGTACAAAGTGGGTGGAATAACATTCACTTCAGCCCTTTGACAATTTGTGTCCAAAGCGGACAAAGTGTCTGCCATATCAAACCCTATTGGAAATTTAAGGATGAGACTTAAAAGGATAGTGTTTGCTTAGAAACCAACTAAATTACATAAACCCTAGAAGAGTGGTCAAACACCCTGCCAGAACTATGCAAGAGGGTTGTTCGTGAATACAACAAACATGTGGTTGGGGTATAGTTTGCTTACCAACATTAGCCGGATTGCATGTATAATTTTGACCCTGAGGAATTTAGAGAAAAATTAACATTATAATCAATCTTTTGCATCCAAATCTTCTATATTAAATTATCGAACATGTTTGCTGTGAAACCGTGAAAAAAAATGCATCATTAAAACCCTCACATATACTACGACATTCTTGATGAGTTTAGAGTATATATTAATTTCTTCCTGTAACTCTATGTTCCCAACGGAGCACTTGGCTTTTAAACGGCAGGGTCTTTTTCAATTATCAGGCTCCTCTCCTGTGGAACCAGATGCCTGTGTTTGTTTATGAGGCAGACCCCCTGTTTACTTTTAAGATTAGGCATAAAACTGTCCTTTTTTGAGAGAGATGATAGTTTATCTTGATCTGTCTCTGTAGTTATGGTCTTCAGCTGCTTTTTCTACCCTTAGACAGACTTTATCCCAGTGGCTCTTTGCATGTCTTTGTCCCATTCAGTTTCAAGTCCCAGCTGAACGAGGCAGGTGGCTGTTTAGACTAAACCTGGTTCTGATAGAAGTTTCATCCACGTCAGGTAAAACCTCTGCTCTATTTGAAGAAAATTAACCCCGTGGCTGCCACCACCACGTTTTACAGTAGGTGTGACCTCCTTTAATGATGCACAGATCTTTTTTTTTTTTTTTTTTAACAACAAAGATGCCTGGTTTAATCAGACCACGGCATATTCTCATCCTGGGTTTGAGAATCAGTGTCCTTTAACTTTTAGATGTGTCCCTTGTCCTACACACTTGAATTAAATCGCTAACTGCCTCCGTGGCATGCAGTCAGGCTCTACAGACCTCTGCTAATGAGCTAATATTGGCGCCAGGTGGGCTGAAGCTGAGAGAGACATTTAAAAGTTATCGGACACCAGTCCTTGATGACTGCAGTTTGAGACCACTGGTTCAATGGTTTCATGAGAGGAAAAAGCTTTTGTCTAGAAACCCGACATCTCAGTCCAGATTTATTGGACGTATCAGGATAGCTGGACTTCATTTTGGGTCAGACTACTTACAATCCAAACCACCTTAAATTGTTAGATGTTGCAAAACAATGTTAGGGAAGTGCAAAATTTCAGTACTGCACGCAATCCTCATTTCAGGGTTGCATCTTTAATCACTCAGTGAGTGAAAGACCTGAGAGGGGAAAACAGATATTTTAATTCACATTTGGCTTGTTTGTTTAGCAGCTGTGTGCCACTTATTTCCGCACAAAGAGCTCCCATGTGATTCAGTGCGGCAAAGTGCATTTAAACTGAGGTGCTATCAGAGCGGTGACCATGAACAAAGGCAGTACTGCTGTAAATCAGAAAGCTAAACAAGCAGATGAATGTCAGCTTTACTAAAAAGGAGAAGGTGGCATTAAAAGGAGGCGGGGGGGGTTACAGCATCAAACAGCAGAGGTCCGATTGTATCAGCCGAGTTATAATAATAGGGCGGGCAACGACAGAGGTGGTGTCAGATTATAAATGTGTGTGGGAAAAATCTGCTTTAAATACAGTGACCCCATTACTGCCATTCCTTGCAGCTTATGACAAGGTGATGGCAATAGCAGGGGGGGGAGAGAGAGAGAGAGATAACAGTACCTCGATTTTTGCAGAGATGCTGATCTCTGGGGGGGTCAGGGTGATGGAGGGACACTGCTTGGGGCCTTCACCCAGCGTGATCCAGGAGCGAGGCAGCAACCCTCGGGCACACTCGTTCTGGATGGTGCATCTAGATAGAAAGTGGCAAAATATGATTCGCATGCATATTGCCTTATCACATCACATCTCACTACGAATTGCAAAGGTTTTCCCACTTACTGAGCTTCATCACATTTTGTCACAGTGCAAACACAAACCTCAATGTTATCGTAATAGGATTTCTTTCTGATACAGTCCAATACATTCTGCAGCACAGTCACAAAGTTTTAGGAAAACGATGTTTGGTGTGCTACAGTTTTGTGAACAGTTTTGCATTTGTATTCTTCAAAACTGACTCAGTATTTGTAGATCTGTGGTTTTCCTTTGGGGCCTCTAGCAGCTTTGCACATCTGGAGGCTGAAACTTGTATCTATTCTTCTTTGCGAGATAACTCATCCTCAGTTAGACTGACAGGATTTTCAAGTCCTGTCACAGACTCTCATTTGGACTTTGATCTAATTTTCACTGAACAACTGTAATGCGTTCTAACAAATCCTGAATACGATTTAATTGGATTATAGATCTGGTTGAATCATTCGGGTTGTTGTCTTGATGGAAATAAGTCCACAACCCCAAACTGAAGTCTTACAGTCTTTAGCATGTTGTCTCTGAGGAATTAACTTCATTTAACCTTCCCTCAACTACAACCAGCTGCTCCGCCTCCAAAGCATGATGCTGACACTAACAATTGTTACTGTTCAAATGTTGGGTTCAAGGCAACTTGCAGTATTAGTTTTCCATAACACACAATGTTTAGACTTTTGGCCAAAGAGTTACATTTTAGTCTATACCAACCACCATGCATGTTTTAGGACTTAAAAGAATGAGTGTTTAAAAGGGTTCTGCAACCCTTAGCATCATGCTGACAAGATAACACTGTGATTTGAATTGGTTGTGCTGGTACAGAGACACATCTAAAACATGCAGGACTGGGGGGGGGTCCCTGAGGACTGATCTCTATGAGGAATCCGAAGCTCGTGATAATCTTTTGCAATCTTCAACCTGACTTTAAACATCTTCACACCCTTCTCCCTGACCCGACTACAAAGTTCCTTGGTCTTCATGATGCTATTTGTCCACTAATGTTGTCATAGTGCCAGTTATTTTAGGTTTGTCTATCAGTTAAATAACTACACTCTCCGGTTTTAGCATCACAAAGTGTGAAAAAGTTTAAGGCGTTTGATTAATTCTGCAAAGCACTGAGACAACATGGCCACATAGGCTTTAAGCTCCACCTTGCTTAGAAAACTCTCTCAGTCCCATTTGACGCTATGATCACATATAATAACCGCTTGTCATCGCTGCATCTTGTAATTGAGAGCTGTGCATGTGTGAACACAGAGCTTTAAGGTCAACATTTCATCCTTTGCGAGGAAAGCACGAACTTTTCAGTTTCCATTTCATTCCAGAACTTGTCAAAGTCTCACCGTTGGGTTTCACGGTCTGCTTCCCGCAGATTTATGAGGTGCTCTGGTCTCCTAATGTCACATTCAGACCTCGGCTGTCAGTTTGCCTGGCTCGGCACAGGAGACCACTTGACTCTAGGTCACACGCATTGCTATGGTAACCCATCCGGCAGGCGCCAAGATCAGGAACCAGTCGCAGATATCAGAATAACAAAAACTACCAGACTGGGACTTAATCTGCATGAAGCAACAGTGCATCCATGAATCTGCATGTTTGTTTCAAGGACACATTTAAAGCTGCTTGGCTGTAAAATAATGAATTCCTGGTACAGGAAAGATTGTGAAAGGCCATTCGACAAGCAACATGGGCTCACACTTTGACTTGTGTTTCACTAATGAACTTCAATGCTGGCACAGAGTTCAGTTCATCTGTAGCTCTGACTGAAAGGACAAAGTGACCTTTCAGTCAGAGCTACAGAAGAATCAAAAGAGGGGCCCATTTAGTGTCCTCCTCACATGTCCCATTATGAGCTTGGCACATCCCACTTTCCTTTCACACTTTTGTGGTTGTTTTAAAGTAAAGTGTGTGGCCATGTGCCTGCAAGTGTGAGGATTTGTGTTTGAGGAAAGTAGACATCCAAAATCTCAGTCCCACTGGCACTTAGGGACCTGGAGGGTCTGTGAGGTCAGCTACTGAGCTAAAAATAAAAATGATGGCTCTGGAAGCAATGTGAAAAAAAGAAAAGAAACCCAGACACAAACAAACTCAAACTCTGAATGCATTCTCAACGGTCCCAACTGAAGGGGATTTTGTTCACCCTCACAATGCACACAGGACGATAATTACCACTTGTTTTGGAATTTAGCAAAGCTGCAAAGACGATGACTAAATTTAAGAGGGCAGACGTCAGTGAGAGGACAAAAAATATTTTGATAACTCCGAAACTGATTGGCACAGTCTTGGACTTTAGCAATAAATCAGCCACATTATCTTACAACAACTTAATTGAAATCATGTTTATGTGAGCTGTGCCAAAGCTTAGCCTTCATGCTTATTAAAGGCTTAGCTGCACAAAGGTAGGAATACAAGCAATTGCAATATTATTTTAGTATATTATAATGATTATATTGGTTGAAATTACTTTTAAGTTGTTTAATTTACCCACATCATGATGTTTTAAATACCTACCATGACTTAACCCCCCGCATAGGCATCAAGGGCCATCTAACTGTCTAAAGCGATTACTGATGCATCATATGGGAATGCATGGCAATACAAACATTATCCTTAACCAAATATTACATCCGAGCTGTTCTTTAAAATCAGGATATTGTGCAAACTGATGTTAAATTAGACACTGCATATAATGCAGTTTTATGAAAAGCATTGTATTTTCTCTTATCTTGAGCGACATGCCTGCTTATAGGATAGATTACTATAAAGTCAGCAGTGAATGCAGCAGCCCACTCTCACCATGGTCAGGATGCTGTGATGACACCAAGGCAGTCTTCCTTGACCAAACAGTCAAAAATGCATATATTTTATTAATGAAAAACAACTGATGAGTAGGGAAGAGAAAAAAGGATTTTTGGCCTTCACTGCTCATCCTTTGAATTTCTATCCCCCCCACCCATCTTTATATTCAATAAAAATTTCAACTCCGAAAAGGATTTTTCTCAACCCATCCCGAGATTAACTGGATCCCTATCTTGTCTAAAAAAAAAAAAAAGTCTTACTCTTACAAGATATATTTCTTCCATATGTCAGTATGTAACTCAAAGTATTTAGGTCGCTGGATATGATGAAGGCGACTTGATGTAGTTCCAACCAAGCACCAGAAAGGGAATGAAAGTGTTTTGATTCTGGAATATTTGTTAGCACCACATGGGCTGAAAATGCTGGTCTTCAGTGAGATTTTCATGCAGAATCATCTCTTTGGTTTGCAGAGAATGGACAAAAAAAACAAAAAAAAAAGGCCAAACTATCCAGTGAGAGGCAGTTGCAGCAAAAATTATGGCTCTGTGATGTCAGAGGTCATGGTCAGACTGGTTCAACACGATAGAAAGGCAACCGCAGCTCAAATGACCACTCCTAAAAACCAAGCTATGCTGAATACCATCACTGACCTTGCAAAACTGAGACATTTTGAAATTTGGTGTAAGAAACTAAAGAGCAGAGATCCAAATGTATTATCATTAAGAAGAAAATGTATCATTAGATGCTGTTTACGAGATCATCCTCTATGAAAAAACTTTTACCACCTGTGTCTTTAATATCCCCTTTCTGAAAAATGCCCGCACGCACTAGCCTGCTAGTTGATCAAGATATGTGAACTCTTGCTGACTGGTCCCCTGCAGGAATCCCACAAATGTGCTACATTATGATATACTGTAGCTAAGTACGGGAGGGGGGAAAAGCTGTGAAAGTATGGTTATTTTCCTCCTTCCAATCTAAAGAGTCGGGCTTTAAATCGCAGCGCCTTCCAGGGGTTGGGTACATTCAGTTCAAATCAAACAGAGAGGCAGACTACCATGCTTGCCCCTACTTACACCTACTGCTAATTTACAATCAGCAATAAAACTGAATGTGACTGTTTTTGGAAGTGGAAAGAAGCCATAAAAAACCCACAAAGGCTCAGGCAGAACATGCAAACTCCACTCAGAAAGTCCCTAGGCCAACCGTCAGTTTTCTCACTGTGACAGCGCTAACCACTGTGACAGCGTTCCTTGCTTTCAGCCCGGAAGAATATATTTAGTTCACGCAGTAATGTCTAGATTTTATCTTTTAAATGCTGAATGCGTCCTAATTGGACGAAACTGAAGCAAGCATCCAGGAAATTTTATTTTACATCTCAAAAGGAAAGGAGCATCAACAAACGGCAAGAAAAAAAAGAAAAGAATCTTGAATTCATTCGTAAAATCTTGCTAATTCAAACAGCAATTTGCTCTAACGCTGCACTGTGGAGGAATTAAGTCAAATTATTTCACTTTCCTCTTAAGTACAAATACAGACAGCGATGAATTTACACAAACTCCGCGCCACTTTAAAAGATGTTCAAAACAACTCCTCGAAACAACAACAGTCATCTTACCCTTTAAATCTAACCAGCTTCCCTGCCTCTGCAGTAGTAGCCTCCCCACAGCACGGTACTACCACCACCATGTTTCACAGCAGGGTTGGCGTGGTACATGTAGGTTACAGTTACACGAGCCGGCTGCCTGGAAACTGCCGTTATTTTCGGTTGTTGATTGGCGAAAAGCTCCACATTTAGATGGCACCACCAGGACACCTTGAGTCAGTTGCAGTTGTCATTCCAGGCCACTATATGGCACTGTGATTCTAACATGTCATCAAACGCGCACATGCTTTTGACCCTTAGCTTCCACCTCATTTACAAAAGACTAATCCATCTTCATGTAACGTGTAATATTCCTTATCAGAAGTTGTGTTAAATTGGACAGATTAAGTAGCACAACACTGCTCAATGCTACCTGGGATTCTTTCCCAGGTAGCATTAGGATCATTATTGTTATCTGCCTGTGCATGCATAGATTGAACCCTACAGCTGTGTTTTCTGTGCATGTGCGCTTTCATGCTTGAGGAGTTCTTCAGACCTCCGCGGAGGTGTCGCACAGAAAAGTGTCACTCTAAGATCTGGTTTCGAAAAGTGTCGGTGTGAGAGACTGCGATCATCGGCGACAGGTTAACGAGGCAAACCTGTTGCGGCTTTACTGAAGAGTGGTGTAAACGGGGCAGCAGTTACTTTTTTTTTACCACCGGTAGGATTCCCTCAGCATGATGCCAACACCACTATGCTTCACGGTGCAAGAAGGTCAAGAAGTTCATTGTTCGATTCATCTGACTAGACAAATTGCTTCCACCATCTTCTTGTTTCTTGTAATTTGCACGCCACAAACTTCAAATCTTACAGCATTATTTAAACAATAGCTTTCTCCAAGCCACACTTCCATAAAGGCCGGATTTGTGAAGTGCACTACTAATAGCTGTCCTACTGTTAGGAGAGGAAAACAACAAACTCACTCATAGTATTTTGTTTTTTTTTTCTTTCCTAAAATGTATTCACACCTTGCCTGCTAATTCAAACAGCAATTTTCTCAAACACTGCACTGTGAAGAAATTAATTCAAAGCACTTCACTTTCTTTTGAAACACTAATACGCACAGCGATGAAAATACAGTTCTGACATGCAAACACTCGTCCTCTCCCTCTCCACGCTCTGCCAGACTTTAAAAGCTTTTTCAAAAAAGCTCCTTTAAAATAAACAGAGTCAACATTTTCAGCTAAAATATGACCTGTGAAAACTCATCACCCCCCAGAGTGTCTGAAGAGGTGGGAAGCCGGTGAAGCTGTTAAACAGCAGCACAACATATGAGCTTCTGAAGTGCTCACGCCAACACAAACGAACGCAGACACACACGCACGCACGCACGCACGCACGCACACATACACTGAGAGATAAGAACATGTAGATAAGCATGATAATTTGTGAATAGCAACGATGGCATGTCATGCATAATTTGATTCAAATAAAGATATTTAAGTGCTTTCTCGTGACATGTGGCAGATTAAACCAGCACCGGCATGAAAGCAGTGATCAAGGACTGGGTTTTATCTCCGCCAGAGAAACCGGCTCTCTTTTTCTGACAACAGCGTCACCTCACACAAGCGAACAGACGTGTTTTCGTGCTCCCTCCACATTGCGGATGTGCCGAGAGACGTCAGAGCCGTGCATATAATCAAGCTGGCCCCCAAAGGGACAGTGGCGGCTTCACAGATTGCGAAATCTAGTAGTTTGGCTTTTCCTCCTCTGCTCCCAGTGTCTGCCGTTGTATCAGACAGTGAGGTGATGAAGGACATCATCCACCCCCACGCCACATCCCCCAGGCCTCGAAACCACAAAGCCAGCCCAGCGGCCGGCGGGCCTGGCCAAACAGTGCATCAAACACACAAACACTCATGACATCAGCTCCCTGGCCTCTGAGAGCCAGAGAGAGACGCGCACTCACGCTGACACTTGCACGCAGGCTTACACACTTTGACATTTCCTTGTAAAAAGAACCAGTGTGCTCGCTCCCTCCCACTACCATCATCACAATCAACGCTCCTTTGTAGAGGGATAGGAAAGGGGACAGGGGCACAGGGGGAGGAGAAGACGAGAAGTAGGGAGACAGGGTGGCAGGCAGAGAGATAGACGGCTAAAATTCTCAAAGCTACTGGAGAATAGAAGGGCGAGGAATGAAAATTAAAAAAAATAGAAAGCGGAGGACAGGGAGGGTCGCTAGAGTAAAAAATGCAGTGAAGTGAGAAAGAAAGCGGAATAAAAACAACAGATAGATAAATAGGGAGAGGAGACAGGGAGATAACAATGAGCAATGCCGGGTTTTAGATGACTGAAGCCCTGGGCAAGTCCCTACTTCTGCTCAGCACATCCCGTCTCATCTTTTCTTTTGTGGTTTTAGTATTCTAGTGTAGGTCCTGATACTTTTTTAAAGTCTGTGTGTTGCTATTAATGTGCGTATGGTCTGAGTAGCTCATAAGTCTCCACATCAAGAGTGACACCACATTCAGACGAAGCTCTTTTCATATTTTTCCCCCAATTTTTTAAAGATGAACAAAACACCTAGAAAGGAAATGTCAATGTTCTGGTGAAATGAGTCAACAAGTAGCTCACAGCATCAGTTTCATGTTCATTGTCAAGTGTCTGGCATTCCAAGATGAGTAAGCCTTCATCGGTGCAGATAAAGTGTTTTCATATGAGATTGATTGAGAGCATTTTGTTTTGTATATCATCCCAAAAGCTGTGCTGCCCAGGATGTTAGGCCATATCGCTCATATCAAAAACCACCACTGACAACGAGACAGTGAGACAGGCTGATCACATTCACACAGACACACTTCGTTTTAACCCTTCCAGCTCTTAACGACCTCTAGCAGCCCTAGGACCTCTAGAGCTGCAGCACAGCTTGTCACTAAATTTACTATCTGGACTGATCTGCTTTAATCACTGGCAACTAACCAGAACACGGACCCACATAAACACAGCTCGACGGCACTCATATTCTGACATGGGTCCAGAAAGCCCATCCAGACTCAGTCACATTAATCACTGTGTACTTCCACCAGCTCACAGCTCCACTTCAGCCAAGTCACTCCTCGTCAGGCACTCCCACCCTCAGACCGCCCCAGAGCCAGGGGAACACTCCAAACAATAATGTTACTCCCAAGTCTGAGGCTCAGCTCAGTGGAAAGCAAATCAATAGTGATCCAAGGACAGTTTTTCAAACCCAAAACACGCTCTGCTAGTGCCAAGGCGACACTTTCAAACCGAGAGTGACAAATCCCCAAAACAGGAAAAGAGTCAGTGGTTTTTTTGTTTTTTTTTTTACTGTGCCTCAAGTATCAAAGCGGCAAACAGAAGAGATTTCATCAAACTATCAGTCTTCGCTTTTATTGCTTCCAAAGGACTGCTAAGTCAGATCACTCTGTAGCACAGCATCACAGCAGCAGTCAAACTTCTGCTTTTAACTAAAAAGACGAAGTGAACCTTTCCACACTTCATCCTTTCTGATTATGTCATCAACCACATGGCATGACCTTGGCACTATATCACACGGTAATATGATTCAATTATGTTTACCAGAAGAAAATCAAGGAAAACAGAATACAATAAAGGTTGTTTTCACACCTGACAGTCCGGTGGGCTCGGTTCGATAAGGGGCCAAATTTGTTACATTTTCAGCTGCGTCAAACATACCAAACCGCTGGAGAAACCTGTTCACCCCTTCTAGGTTTTCAGGCAGACCAGAGTTCACTTTTCTCTGGTCTGCAGACCAGACTGAAGCGAAGACTGATAGTTTTGGTGAGTGTCAGAGTTTTATTGTGATTTCTATCCTCCCCAAATGAACCGGACTGTGTAGGCACACAAACTAAGAGTTTGATCAAAGTGAACTAAGCAGGGCTGGTGTGAATGCACCCTGAAAGAAAGATATTTCAAAACCACAAAAGGTTGTCATTCTCACCTGTTCTCCAAAGTGCACCAACCACAGTAGGCGTCTTTAGCCCCCAAGCAGTCAGTGCAGCTCTTCCACTGGTCACATTCTGCTACTTTTACTCTCAGCATCTGTACAAAGCAGCAACAGCAATTAAAAAAAAGAGAGCGAGAGAGAGAGAGAGATTTACGGTTTTAACAAACTTGCTGGTTTATTTGTAGAAGACAAATAAATAACAGCAATTTACTCTGACAGCTCTGAACATCAGTTAATATGTCACTGAACAAATACACTCCACAACATCTGCTGGCTACAGCTTGTCAGAAGTCGGGATTTGCTTCTTTTTCTCTGTTGCCTAATCTTTGTAATTAGGTCATCTGTGGGATTTGGACTGCTGGGCGGACATAACAAGCAATTTAATGATGTGGTCTGGCCTCAGAGAAAATAGTAATTTCTAGCATTCCCAATGGATAATGCAATAAATGAACTTAAAAATAGTCCGTAAATTGGTCAGCAGAAATTTGCAGATTCAGTTATTCTAGGAAAATAGGTAGTGACAGAGCATTATTTTTGCTGTTGTAAATATACGTTTCTTCATTTTACAAAGCAGATTCTGTGGGTAGTAGATTATGTATTGTTTTTGACAAGGAGCATGAAAAAGGGATTTTGTAGTTATTATTATTACCATCATTAATATGACCCGGAAGGGTTGACAAAATGCAGAATTCACAACAAAACAAAAGCTACAACAGAAGCTATGCTAGCATGTTTAGCATAACTTTCATTTTAGCGTAACTTCAGCTTGTGATTTTGTTGATGCATTTTTTAAAAAAATTTTTTACATTTCTGGGTCACTGTACATATACCATTGTTGTTATCCCTGGTTTCAATGTCAAAATTGTCAAAATTGGTGAAATTACAATGAAATGAAAAAAAAAACAAAAAAACCATAACATCACTCTACCAATGATTGGGGAGTTTTTACTGACTGAGAAGCTCTGGATATATATATATATATATATATATATATATATATATATATAATTTTGTACCTGTTTTTTTCTACAGTGCTTTCTGTCTAGAACACGTGTGCATGGCAGTTTGCAAAGAACAATGTATTTGTGTCATATTTCCAAACTTTGAGGTCAATCTATTCAATTTTCAGTCAAGTGTTACAGATTTCAACATGACATTCAAGAGGCTATGGATCGTGCTGTATGTTGCTAACGAGATCTTTTGCAACAACTTCCCATAAAATGTGTGAAAACAATTTCAGCTCCTCAGTGTGCATATTAAAATGTGTCTGCAACAGGAAGCAATGTGATTTAATCTCTTCACAGAAAGAAATCAGGTACACCGATGTTATGTGACATAAATGCTGTAGGTGCAACCGCATAGAGCCTTAAGTGCAGCAGTTGTGAAACCAGCTGGGAGCTTTGAACTCTGAAGGAGCTCAGAGCGCCACAACAAATCTAACCGTGTTCTGCTAAATGGAAGCAATGAGCCTGGATTTTAGCAGATGTGTTCTGAAAGTGGTTCTTGTGGTTCCTCTGTCTGTGACATCTGTGCAGATTAGCAGTAAACATCTACCGCCTGAAACCTTGTCTGTGCTCGGGTGCTTACGTGGTGAGAGGTCATGACATAAAGAAAATTGCCGTCGTTGGGGTCGAAAGTCATGATGTGGTGGACCGCTTCGCCAGCTGGCAGCTTCATGTTCCTCTGGCTGGCCAAGGTCATGTTAGGGAAGAGGGTCAGCTGCCAAGATAGAGTGAGAGTAGAAATCAGTGTGAATTAAGATCAAACGTACCAGAGAACCTCAGTCTGGCACCACTAGCTTTATCTAAGCACCACATGATTTACAAGACAACATGAATTGCATTTGCTTTCTGCTGATTGAACAAATTCAGGCTTTCTGACATTTGTCTATACATGCTTGGTGACTCCCGACAGAAACTTGCACATAATGATCTCTGCTGGGAGGCTGCTTCCACCTACAACAATGTTTGCGAGGTTTCGTCAGCCTGCCGATCGGCTTGCTCCTTCCCATGTCGGGAAAGGTGTCATCGGAGGCTCCAGGAGCTGCTTGTTGAAATATTAATGAATCGTTTGCCGAGAACAATGCTGTATTTGGCAAAAGTTTTTTAGAGCACTTCCAATTTCTCTATTTTTTTTACTTCCGAGAGTCACAATCAGTTTTCATCAGTGATTCCCTTGACTTTTAGAAGGTCCTTTAAAGTTTCTGTGTGGATTACGGCTGCTGTTTTACTCCTTTTCCTCAAAAGGTGGAAAGTTGACAAGCGAAGCGGAGGACAAAAGAAGTATCTTAAAGCTTAAAAACTATCTAAAGGAGAACTGAGTGTCAAAGAAAAACTCTACCAGAGAACTGATTTCATACATGAAGCTCAATCAGCCTTCACATGACCACATCCTATGTTCAAGAGGTTTTGCAAAATTTAATGCAAAGTCAGCAATTTGATGCCAATAGCTCAGCATGGGGTGAAATGGAAATGTTTGGGTACAAATAGGTGAAATGACAAATTGACAGAGTCCCTCCTAAATCATCCAACTTGACAGTAGAAACTTCAACTCAGCATGTTAAAAGCTTTCATGTCTGACAGCAACTGCGAGTATCGGCAAGTCTTAAGAAACAAACAAACAAAAAAAAATCCTTAAAATAATTTTAGTTCATTACTTAATTTCCTGAATATGTTTTTTTCTTGTTTCACCCGCTCAAAAACATTTTAGGAGATTCTCTGCTCGAGCAAATGTGCCTAATCTTGCTCTGCCGAGCTGCGATTTATCTACAGACTGGCCGTCTTACAGCTCAAGATAATAAAATGGTGAAATATTAACACGTACGCACAAACATATGCACACACAGACACACTCGCACATAAAGAGCTCTGTAGGAAAAACAAACAGCGCTGAGTGAGACTTCCTGTCACGCTAACAGAGAAAGCCCTTATTTCTGTAATTCACTGGGTTTCTCTTCAGTGGAGACATCCTGCCATTCTAGGGAACTGGCACACTGACTGACACTTTTATTGACAATCATGGGCACTGTCGCCTCTCCATCTGCGGGACATGCACAGGGCCTTAGAATAGCATTCACACTTTTAGAACTTTTTCCAGGTTTTTTTTTTTTTTGTCAGTAATTTATTTTACTGGGATTTTATGTGATAGACCGACACAAAGCAGCGCTTGTAGTTTGAAGTGGAAGGCAATAATGGATCATTTTCTAGATTTTCACACATGAAACTCTAAAAAGGGTTGGTGTGCATCCACACTCAGCCTTCCTTTTGCTTTAGTTTGAGGCATGTCTCTCCCAGCGTCAAAAGGAGCTCTTGTAACAGCAAGTTGTTTCTCCACTGTTAGCGCACTGAGCAGCGGATATACAAATGTGATTGACAGCACTAAGACCTTCTTCCTGGCCTTTTGGTTTCTGACTGGGAGATGTGCATTTCTGCAGATTACAGTAGTCGCTCAGGAAGGAGGTGGAGGAGCATGATAGTTTTCACAAATTATCTGTCTCATGTTATCGAGTCACAACACAGTGACAGTTTCAACAAATGTTTTCGAACGTTAACTACTGCAGCTTTAACACAGATTGTAAATTCTTCCAGGTTCGTCTTGTAATTATCCGTTCATTCACTCCAGTTGTGGACATGATGCTGCCACCAGTATTTTTCACAGTGAGAATGGTATGTCTATGGTGACGCGCAGTGTTAGGTCCTCCACATAACCTTTTACTTCATCAGAGCACCTTCTTCCACATGTTTCATGTTGAAGGGTTTATTTGAATATCTAAATTTTAGACAGGACTGCTTACAGCTTTCTTTCAGCAGAGGCCTTCTTTTACCACTAAAATGATATCAGACTTATGCTCTATCCTGTTAAGAGATTCTTCCATCTGAGCTGTGAATCTGCACATCTACCATGGACCATTTCACTGCTTCTCTGTCACTTTAGGTCATGGGGTCAACAACCTTTGCACCCAAACAATTTTTTTTTCTCCTTAAAATGTATTTAGAGGCAGAAATGCTGGTTATTGTGTAAGAGAAGCTTGAAATAGCTTGTTTTTACAATATCTACAATACTATATTTGTTTAGATTTTCAAATTAAAGCACAATTTTTATGTTGTTCATTAAACCTTTACACAAAAGAGAATGGATATTTATTCTTTGGCATAACATTGCGTATTTTTAGAAAACGATGCCAAAAACACCACAGTTTGCAACCAAAACACAAACAAATTACGAAACAAAAATATTCTTTACACTAAAACTTCAAAGGACGGCATTTGGTTACGTGGCTTTACATTTTAAAGCACTGATCAATTCCTCATTTTATCTTATCACAGTGGAGGATCTGAAGAGACATTTTCGACCCACAAGATGGAGATTCCTGTTTAGGTGTCATGTCTTGACAGGTTTGCTGCTATACTATACTCTTTTTATTTTCAAAACTTTGAGGTCTTTACAGAACACTTGCATTGTTTTCTATTAAAAAAGAACAAGCAGCTAAACTTTGCTAACTATTTACATGACATTTGAAGAAACGTGTTTGAAATGGATTTAGAGTAAAGGTTGTGGATACAAACGAGCCCCTCACTTTACAGATGTTCACATTCTTTTATCATTTTCTTTCCACTTCATTTGAATAATAAAAAAAAATAATAATTTCTGGCGGTAACATGTCAAAATGGGACAATGTCCAAGAAAGGAGAATATTTCTGCATTGAACTGCGCAAGAAAAACAAACGTCACCACCTACTGAGCCAGGCCGGGTAATTTTAAACCGAAGCAGACAGAAGCTTAGTAAAGCCGGATGAAAGACATTGTCTCAGGCTCCAAATATTGCTGTCATTTTTAAACGCCACCCACCACTTCTATAAGCAACACACAGTGGGGATAGTGAGCAGCTGTATTGTGTCTTCAGCCTGCACCCCAGTGACTGCGAACACACGCAGAGAGTGACACAGCGAGGAGCCTGCAAACAGCGGCCCACACACCTGGAAAGGGTAAAGAATAGGAGGTGAGCTGTGGCACAAAGCGCCACCCGGTCAGCCAGCAAAACACCTGCTGCACTGGCAGGTCGCTCTGACTCCATTCTCTATCTATCTTCATGCAGATCAAAGGCTCTATTCAACCAAGGAACGCTCAGCTGCTGTGCACTCATTCTCTCCTGTCCTCTCTCTGTGTGAGTATGTTTTGGATGTGTACAACCAGGAGAATAAAGATCGATAGAGGTGAGCCAGCAAGAGAAATGTAGTTGATACCAGATACTAACATACACTGCATAAAAGGTCACATTAGTTTTCTGTAACCATTATTTAGTTTTAAATCAAAATAAACAACTTCCAATTTATGTATTTTTCTTCTATTTTCTAAATGCCAGAACACTTTATTTTATTTTTATTTCTTTTTTTTTGTGGATGACATTTAAAGCATCGCCTCAAAATACAATGAGGAAATAAAACTTTTATTTAATAAATTTTAAATTTTAAATTTTAATAAATTTTTGTTATTTTTATAACAAAACCAAAAGACCTTAAATAGATGCTGGCTGAAACCAGTCAGTTATCATTCACAGTTCTGAATGCAGTTGGGCTAAAACACTAATCTACTGTAAAAGAAACATCAAAAGCAAGACTACAATTTGGAAACACACTCAAGGCGAAGGCCTTAACTTTTTTTGGACATGTTTTGGTGTCTGTTCAGCCGTAATGATCATTTTTTACATTTTGTGGAAAAAGGTGGGAAGCTAGCAAACCTGAGAACCATCACTATGTGATGTACAATGTAGACAATATCATGTCGGGAGTGTTTTACTGCAGGAGGGACTGGTGCACTGTTCAAGAAGATGGCATCACGAGGAAAGAACTGGAGAGGAGATGACATATTAGAGCAAAGTCTCAAGGTTTCAATCAGGAAGCTAAAGCTTGGGTGCAAATGATCCAAAACATACCACCATTTAGGTACAATGAAGCATATGGATAACAAAGTCATTTTTGGAGCAAACGTCACAAAACTTTAAAGTCAGTAAAGGCAATCTACAAACCTGACTCGGTTACACCAGTTCTGTCAGGAGGAATGGGACAAAAGGTCCTGCAAACTATTGTCTGGCGCTTATAGACAATAGTATGTCTATAAGCTTATTTTTCAAAACTTATTTTCAAAAATCCCTCCCTTATTATTCTGGAGCAACCAGAATAATAGCAAACAGAAAGGGCTTTGTTTATCCAAACTGACTTAAAACAAGAAATGTTTAGTGTGATTAAATCTTTTTGCACCCTTTATTTCAATATCTGTAGATAAAGTTTGTTTTCACAGTGAATCAAAGGTTGTTGTTTTTTTCTACATTTGAGGCTGAGGTGAAATAAAAATGGAATCACGTGGGGAGGAAGGGACAGTGGAGCGATGAAGTGAGAGATTGAGGGAGCAAATTTGGATGTGAGTGAGAGAGAGAGAGAGAGAGAGCGATAGAGGCGGAAACTGCCAGACGCAGGAAAATGGAAGTCAGTCGTAATGGGGAGGGAGAGACTTCATTAAAAAAATGCATGTAATTACAAATTACTTCAGTGAGGGCTCTCTCAAAGACAGTAAAGGAGGTCTAACTTAATCTGAACCACTGCTCCCCTGTGTTTAGTCTGAGCCAAACTCACAGTCAGAATCACATTACACACACTAACAGCACCATTAACCTCTGTAACAGCTCTATCCTCAGGGCACACACACGCATGCACAATCATCACCACACACATGCACGCTAATACGCACGCAAACAATCAGAGCCACATACAGCTAAAAAGCACAAAGCAAGTAAGTTGTTGCTGCAAGGTCACCGAAACGCCACACTCTGGATTTAACAAGGTTGACGCACACATGCATAATCTCAGGGTTTGTATCCATCTAAGTAAACACGTGGAATCACTAAACCTTCTCGCAATGGCCTGCAGACAAAGTCAAACACCTAAAAAACACAGTCGAACCTGTAATCAGGCAAACAGACTCACACAAATACACACTCAGTGCTGTTTACACCACTCCGACCAATGTGGTGCATCTGGTTTACGGCAAAAAGCCTCCGAAAAAAAAACAAAAAAAAAAAACAATTACGGCAAGCTCAGTTGGGGCCAAACAATGAGCTTCCCCCAACCCCCACTGGCTCCCAGCAGTATGGTTTTAATGCTGTAAAAGGCACAGAGCTCATGCAAAGCAAGCCTTCAGAGTCGGCTTGCGTTGTTTCCACAGGCATCTGAAGACAGCAGATTGTTGCGCTCGCTGGGATCTCAGTCAGGGGCGACTGGGAATGTGACTGAGACAGGAATTAAGGAATGCTGCTAATTAGACACGAGCTGGATGGTCGGTGGATGTGTAAAAGCGGAGGTCGCGGGCCAACACATGGCAGGGCTGAGTCACGAGTCCTCACTGAGTCTTGTTAAAGAGCTTCTCTCAGACAATAACCAGGTCTGAGGAACATTAGAGCGCATGATTAGGGCTGCTTAGGGATGACCTGACGATGACTGAAGCGGAGAAGACCTAGTGGGGGGGATGGAGTGATGACAGAGCTGAGAAGATACAGGATGAAAGCAGATAGTCCTGCTTGTTCTCTGAGTGTTTTCTCACACACCTTCAGCTTTATTGACAGCTGCGGCAGCCACATCAGAGCATCCGTGCGTGTCTCCTGATCCAACAGTTTTTCCAAGCTTCAGGGCTCAATCAAATTAAAAACTTGAGCTCCTTTCAGAGGGGCCATTTTATACAGCAATAACTCTATGACCTGAGGAGTTAGCGCTTTTAGTCTGTTTTTTTTTACCCATTGCTCATCATTCTTTACCAAACATTTGTAAGGATTAAGACATCCTAATATATTTTTTTTGTATTGGTGTAAGGAGAGGCTAGCGTATTTTACTGGGATTTAGATGAACATGAATTAATTCATAGTTGCAAAGCAAAACCAGATGTATATAATAGTAAAGTTTTTCTTTAAATGAAAGTGTGAACAACTAAGGTGTGTATTTGTGTTCACCCTCACCAAGTCTATGTTTCTGTCCAGGTCTGTCTCTAAAGGCTTTCAACATCTATTCCCACCAGTTCTACTTTACAAAATAGCTCAAACTCAATCAGAGAGGAGGCTCTGAAGATCAATTTTTAAGTCTCGCAACAGATTCTTAATTGGGTTAAAGTAAGGACTTTGACTAGGCCTTTCTAATACACAAATATGCTTCAATCTGAAACACCCTTTGCATGTGTGGTTGTTTGTTTAGTTTCTGATCTTACTGGAAGATGAACCTCCACCCTAGAATACCCCAGCCTTTATAAGCTCCATGGATGTCTTTCCTTCAGATATGATAAAGAAGCCTTTAAGATGAAAGGTGAAACACCTTCTAGAACAAAGAGAAGAAATTTGTATTGTTTTGCAGCATTACTATAGGGTATATTTATTTTTCACCAACGGACATTTGGAATTATGCTGCATTTAAGTCGTCTCGCTGTTCAGAGCTGGGAGCTGGAAATGATGTTGCCCCAGGATGAGAGCGTCCCGGTTACAAGTCGGAAAGCACCAGGATTTCCTATTTGTTTTGCAGCTAACTAGCAAAACAAGACAAAAACAATATACTTCTCTTTCTGTTTTATGTGTTGAAACACAAAGGGAACGGATATTTTACAACAACATGTGTGCCACTGGTTTAATGAGCTACATGCCGTCAGAGGTGCATAGTTTTCGGTTTATACTGGCAACATTCATTACATTCTGTATGCCTGCAGCCATATTGAAACTCAAGGTTGCTCCGTGAGCTCTGATGTTCCCGGCCTGAGTTCCAGCATCAGCAGGCTGTTTTGTTTTGTTTTTCTGACCGGGAACCCGGAAAATCCAACTTTTCAGTATTACAGCTCTACAATATGTCAAATCAAAGCTGTCATCACAATTTCCATGTGTGCAAATGACTATTTTAGTGTAATATTTAGCATGCTGCATTTTAAAGGGGGGCTATTAAGTAAAACTGACTCTTTTCAAACTTTATGTCATATTATGGCGTTATTACGTTATCGAACACATACCAGGAATGTTGCTTTGATTCTTTCATGCACTTTTGAGTAATTCTTGCATTTTTAGCAGCCATTTGGGATGCCTAAATGCCTGCTCTCATAAAGTAACGCCTATTTCCATTAAGCTAGTTCTCGGCACTGCAGTCTCCAGCCGAGCCCCCACCTCAGAGAGCTTCTCTACCCTGCGACTGACTAGCAGCAGCACCAGTAATTAGTTACTTGATTGTGTTGTAAAATGGCACTATGTGCATGGAAAACACGTAATGTCTCCCCTTTAAGAACCAAGCATTCAAGGCCTGTATACCAGGAATATATTCGGCCTTTTGGAGGAATTTTCCTGGCATATGATGTTCATGATGATCATAATTTTTTTACCAGCTTTGATGCAAAAATTAATACGGTTGGGAGAAGTGATAGTGATGAAGGGGGGAAAAAAATGAAAGATGGGTTAATAACAATCAATATTGTTGCAATATTCAGCAATACTATCCCAGTTCTATATATTCCAGATATCATTCAGCCTTATTTGTTGTCCTTGGCTAACAAGCATAAAAAAATAATGCAGTAGCATTTAAAACTATTTACACCACAAATGCATTTATAATTAGTAGTAATGTGTGTTCTATTAGAACTGACGTGTATCTGTTTGCTGAATGTCCCATTTTTCAGCTTAACCCCTACCTAAAATAAGTTCTTCAGGATAATATCAGGAGGGGGGTCTAGCCCTTAGATATGCATTCAATGGAAGTTTCATTCACCCGTAATGCTGCGACAGTGGGCCTCACCTTATGAAGACGCCCGTTACTGGTTCCCAGAAATACCACAGTGTGGTTGTGCACATTGTCCACTGAGACCGAACTGAGGGCTGAGTTTCCAAAAAGAGGAATGGCCCTAAGAGGCCTCCGTAGAGCCAGAGGGTGCTGCAGGTGGGCGGCGCCGCAGTCCAGCTGCTCAGGCTGCAACTGGAAGGGAAGATGAAATGAAAAAGAGATCAATCCTCATCAGTTTTTCACACAGATTAGAAGACAGGACAGCAGAGCGCACAACAGGAGCACGGCGTGATTAATGTCTGGTGGAAAGCAAGTGGTGTGTGATAGGAGCTATCACTCTGGTGCTGCTCGTTCTTCTAAATTACTTTGTGGGCATGTCAGTGAATACTTGAAAAGGGATTACAATGCTCTTCAACACTCATAAGACTTTGCTTTTGTCAAATCCTCGGTAAGCAGTGATAAAACATTAGCGCCACGCTCGGATGAGCACCAGGATCTACTGGGAATTTGCTGAATATTTTAGAACATGCTCAGCCAAAAAGGAAAACGAAAAGAAAAGAAAGAAGTAAAAAGAAAAGGGAGGGAAAGAATTAAGAACAGTGGATATTTGTAGCGTTGTTTCCCACGGGCCCCTTCTGCTCACAGCCTCATCGCTCTTATCATAAATTGTGTCTGACTTTCCCTCAGCGCTGGCCTTCAAACTGTCAACTACAAAAAGGATCACGTGTCCGCAGCCAATAAATGTAAAACCAAAGGGACTAACTTTTTTCTATGAGAAGTATTTTTATGACATCAAAAGCGGAAAAACAAATCTGGACTAAATTGCTTTTGAACAAGAAGTTGTCTATATTGCAAAGGCCTGAGGACCAAGTAGGATGTTAGATCCATTCAGAAAACGGGTCATGGATGGAGCGGCCCCGGGGGCCCACAGACAATAAGGCGGTGCCGTGGAGCAGGGCAGCTCCCTGGTCGCGCCACAGCAGCATCCTTTGACCTTAACTGTGGCAGTATGAACCACAACAACAGAAATCTGGAATTTCATCACATTCCCGATTCACTTTGCCTCCATTGTGTGACGGCATCCGAACAGAGGGTAAATATAGTTTCCAGCATTGATGTTTCCTTAAGGGCAGATATTTAGCCTGGTATGTGAGTGGAAATACAAGATAATGTCTGACCACGGGACAGCAACAAAGCGGCTATTTGTACTCGACCACTGCAACCAAATCTGTGGCTGAGCTATAGTTAGCGGCAAAAACTCACAAGTATAAACTGCAGCAGAAAAAAACAACAACAAAAAAAAAAAAACATAGTAAGCTGTTAACCCTTTCTGTGCTTCAGATTTGATAAGACAGAGAAGAGCAGAGCTGTTAGATGTGAGGGGAGTCTGAACATTCCCACAACCTTTCAAGTGGCTCTAAAGATCTTTTCATCTCTAATGACCTTTATTTCTTACATAGGAGATCCTCTCTCTGAGCCAGGAGCCTCAGGGCTCAGGAGGTTAACTTTCTGTGTGAGATACAGTAGTCATGTTTGCACCCTGAGGAACTATAGGGCCCTATGTTTCATAAGTAAGCAAATTCTGTTTCTATGTTTACAGCATAGCAATAAAACAAAATGTGTGGATTAGATATCCAAGCATATAGGAAATTGCAGGAGTCGAACTGGAGACAACTGCTTTGAGGACTGGAGACTCTGAATATGGCACAGAATGCCACATTGGCATTCTGAACATTTTATTTTTACTTTTACAACTAAAAATCTAAAAAGTGTGGTGTGTACCTGTAGTCATATCTCTGGGTTAGTATTTTATAGAGCAATATTTTGTACAGTTACAACTCCAAGCTTTTATTTAGCACATAAAGAGAAGTCAGTTTTTACCAGTACTTGTTTGGAAAAACAGCTCAAGCTCTTTCAGACTATGTTAATTAAATCTAATTAAGACAACCGTTAATTAGATTTAAGTCTGGACTATGTTTTGTTGGAAGGCCAACCTCCAAACTTCTCTTATGTCATTTGCAGATCCTAACAGGATTTCTTCTGGGATTTCCCTGTATGTAACTCTATCTGACTTCCATGTCCCCACATCATGCTGCTGACATCACAATATTTCATCTAAAGCATGTTTTGTTCATGATGAGATGCTGTGTTTAAAGCAGCACAAAACAATTTGGTTGTTACATTAGATTATATAATCAAGTGGAAATATTTTACTTCTGAAGCCAGTTGGTTGGGTGGAATTTTATTTATGGGTATCTCAGTAAAGGAAACTATAAGTGTACACCACACTTTTCAGATTTCTAACTTAAAAAGCTATACTCCAACCAATGTGGCGCATGTGGTTTTCTTTACATTGTGTTATTGTGTTTCTTAAAATCCAAATAAATGAAGTTCCAAAAACTTCAAGGGTGTAAATAATTTTTGCAAACTGTTTATTTTCATAAAGGTTATTTTTTTCACAAATTCTGAAATAAAATAACTTGTTTTTTTGTTGTTGTTTGTTTGTTTTGATTTTTATGGCGTTTGTTATCCTATTTTTGTTTTTATGGCATTTGTAATCTACGGAGCCCCTAAGGGGACATGGAGAAAAAAAAAAAAGGAAAGATATCCCTACTTATTATCGCGAGATCCCGAGAAACTAAGTCGAGATCTCGAGATCCCGACTTATTATCGCGAGATCCCGACTTATTATCGCGAGATCCCGACTTATTATCGCGAGATCCCGACTTATTATCTCGAGATCCCGACTTATTATCGCGAGATCCCGAGAAAATAAGTCGGGATCTCGAGATCCCGACTTATTATCGCGAGATCCCGACTTATTATCGCGAGATCCCGACTTATTATCGCGAGATCCCGAC